ATAATGACGGGGATGGAAGTCGTCAAGTCTGCGCGCGAGACGATTCGTAATGACTCTCGAAAACAGCACGTAGACGCGGCTCAGAAGGGAAATCGGTCTGTAGTTCTTCAAGAGAGCGTTGTCACCTTTCTTGAAGAACAAGACCACCGCACTTCTGCTCCACGCCTCCGGTGTAATGCCACCATGGAGGACGGAATTAAAGAGCTTCTGAAGGACTTCAAGTACCGGTCTTCCACCCGCTTTCAGAAGCTCCGCTGTAATTCCATCCTCGCCTGGGGCCTTACCGTTTTTAAGGTGCTGGAGAGCCATTCTAATCTCGCTCAGACTGACGTCCGGGATATCTTCGGAATAGTGTCGGATGAGACTCGCTCTTGGATCGTTACTCACACTTGCGTGTGGCTCCAACGATGACGTGTACAGCTGCCCATAGAACCTCTCAATCTCACTCAAAATCTCAGGTGTCCCGGAAACGATGCTGCCACACTCTGTCTTCAGCTTTGACGGGTGGCTCTTTCTGGCAGACAGATCTCTGGCAAAGACTTTGGAGCCTTGGTTCCGCTCGATCGCTTCTTCAATACGAGCTGTATTGAAGTTGCGTAAGTCCCGCCGCATGCATTTGGAGATCTGTCTGTTCAGATGCCTGTATGCTGTCAAGTCTGTTGAAGAATATAGCTTCATCTCCCGTCTAACAGCCATGAGATTAAGAGTGTGATCGGAGAGTTATCGTGTTCTTCTGCGGCGGGTCTTGCAGAACTTGGCTCCGACCGCATGGACAGTTTCCACGAGCTTGTCATTCATATCGTCCACTTCATTGCAGTCTTCTAGGCACTGAAAACGGTTTTGTAACTCGAGCTGAAAGGTTTCGGGACTTTGGAACAGAGCACGAGGGGGACGGAGCGTTGACTTCATTAGACGAGACCTCTCCAACTTAACGTTTAGGTTCAGTGTGCCTCTAACCATTCGGTGATCGCTACCAGTTTTCACCCTCGCGATCACGGAGACATCACTGAACAGTTGTCGTCTGGTCGTCATAATGAAGTCAATCTCATTTTTTGTCGAACCGTCGGGGCTCGACCAGGTCCACTTCCTGTTGGGCCGCTTCTGGAAGAAAGAGTTCATCATAAAGAGTCCCTCTTTCTCCATGAAGTCGGCCAGCTGCTGAAAGAACAATACAAGAAATCATTGTATAGTTATAACTGAAGAAGAGAAAGCTCTTCTTCAGTTATAACTAGCGACATCTGGTATGCGTAAGTGTGTAAGCCATCATTGTTGTTGCAGTGCAATACCTGAACCAGTGGAAGTGCGTGGCGGTGCTGCGTAGTTCCCCGCAGAGTGGCGAGGCAGCGCCGCAGTCGCGCGCGCACACCACCTACACGCGCCTCGCCGCCATGGCCAACCCCGCGCACATGCCCTACCACTGACCCACACACGTGAGTACTGTTGTATACGTGCCCTACCACTGACACACCACCTACACGCGCCTCGCCGCCATGGCCAACCCCGCGCACATGCCCTACCACTGACCCACACACGTGAGTACTGTTGTATACGTGCCCTACCACTGACACACCACCTACACGCGCCTCGCCGCCATGGCCAACCCCGCGCACATGCCCTACCACTGACCCACACACGTGAGTACTGTTGTATACGTGCCCTACCACTGACACACCACCTACACGCGCCTCGCCGCCATGGCCAACCCCGCGCACATGCCCTACCACTGACCCACACACGTGAGTACTGTTGTATACGTGCCCTACCACTGACACACCACCTACACGCGCCTCGCCGCCATGGCCAACCCCGCGCACATGCCCTACCACTGACCCACACACGTGAGTACTGTTGTATACGTGCCCTACCACTGACACACCACCTACACGCGCCTCGCCGCCATGGCCAACCCCGCGCACATGCCCTACCACTGACCCACACACGTGAGTACTGTTGTATACGTGCCCTACCACTGACACACCACCTACACGCGCCTCGCCGCCATGGCCAACCCCGCGCACATGCCCTACCACTGACCCACACACGTGAGTACTGTTGTATACGTGCCCTACCACTGACACACCACCTACACGCGCCTCGCCGCCATGGCCAACCCCGCGCACATGCCCTACCACTGACCCACACACGTGAGTACTGTTGTATACGTGCCCTACCACTGACACACCACCTACACGCGCCTCGCCGCCATGGCCAACCCCGCGCACATGCCCTACCACTGACCCACACACGTGAGTACTGTTGTATACGTGCCCTACCACTGACACACCACCTACACGCGCCTCGCCGCCATGGCCAACCCCGCGCACATGCCCTACCACTGACCCACACACGTGAGTACTGTTGTATACGTGCCCTACCACTGACACACCTCCTACACGCGCCTCGCCGCCATGGCCAACCCCGCGCACATGCCCTACCACTGACCCACACACGTGAGTACTGTTGTATACGTGCCCTACCACTGACACACCGCCTACACGCGCCTCGCCGCCATGGCCAACCCCGCGCACATGCCCTACCACTGACCCACACACGTGAGTACTGTTGTATACGTGCCCTACCACTGACACACCACCTACACGCGCCTCGCCGCCATGGCCAACCCCGCGCACATGCCCTACCACTGACCCACACACGTGAGTACTGTTGTATACGTGCCCTACCACTGACACACCACCTACACGCGCCTCGCCGCCATGGCCAACCCCGCGCACATGCCCTACCACTGACCCACACACGTGAGTACTGTTGTATACGTGCCCTACCACTGACACACCACCTACACGCGCCTCGCCGCCATGGCCAACCCCGCGCACATGCCCTACCACTGACCCACACACGTGAGTACTGTTGTATACGTGCCCTACCACTGACACACCACCTACACGCGCCTCGCCGCCATGGCCAACCCCGCGCACATGCCCTACCACTGACCCACACACGTGAGTACTGTTGTATACGTGCCCTACCACTGACACACCACCTACACGCGCCTCGCCGCCATGGCCAACCCCGCGCACATGCCCTACCACTGACCCACACACGTGAGTACTGTTGTATACGTGCCCTACCACTGACACACCACCTTCACGCGCCTCGCCGCCATGGCCAACCCCGCGCACATGCCCTACCACTGACCCACACACGTGAGTACTGTTGTATACGTGCCCTACCACTGACACACCACCTACACGCGCCTCGCCGCCATGGCCAACCCCGCGCACATGCCCTACCACTGACCCACACACGTGAGTACTGTTGTATACGTGCCCTACCACTGACACACCACCTACACGCGCCTCGCCGCCATGGCCAACCCCGCGCACATGCCCTACCACTGACCCACACACGTGAGTACTGTTGTATACGTGCCCTACCACTGACACACCACCTACACGCGCCTCGCCGCCATGGCCAACCCCGCGCACATGCCCTACCACTGACCCACACGCTTGAGTACTGTTGTATACGTGCCCTACCACTGACACACCACCTACACGCGCCTCGCCGCCATGGCCAACCCCGCGCACATGCCCTACCACTGACCCACACACGTGAGTACTGTTGTATACGTGCCCTACCACTGACACACCACCTACACGTGCCTCGCCGCCATGGCCAACCCCGCGCACATGCCCTACCACTGACCCACACACGTGAGTACTGTTGTATACGTGCCCTACCACTGACACACCACCTACACGCGCCTCGCCGCCATGGCCAACCCCGCGCACATGCCCTACCACTGACCCACACACGTGAGTACTGTTGTATACGTGCCCTACCACTGACACACCACCTACACGCGCCTCGCCGCCATGGCCAACCCCGCGCACATGCCCTACCACTGACCCACACACGTGAGTACTGTTGTATACGTGCCCTACCACTGACACACCACCTACACGCGCCTCGCCGCCATGGCCAACCCCGCGCACATGCCCTACCACTGACCCACACACGTGAGTACTGTTGTATACGTGCCCTACCACTGACACACCACCTACACGCGCCTCGCCGCCATGGCCAACCCCGCGCACATGCCCTACCTCTGACCCACACACGTGAGTACTGTTGTATACGTGCCCTACCACTGACACACCACCTACACGCGCCTCGCCGCCATGGCCAACCCCGCGCACATGCCCTACCACTGACCCACACACGTGAGTACTGTTGTATACGTGCCCTACCACTGACGCACCATACCCTCGGAGGAATCTCTTCGAAAATCTAAATTTGATAGTTTTATTCGATAACGATTGATGTTAAGCACAACATTTTATTCTTTATTATTGAAGTTCCACATGAATTATAGAACTTTGTTTCACGCTATGTAGGTTCACTATAATTTTTTTTAGTTTTTAAAATTTGTGTATATTTTAGATTAAACTCATGCAACGCGTTCTTTTCTTTGTTGTTTGCGGTTAATTATTAACACGAACTTAATATACACTACACAAATTCATCCATCACTAACCAGATATTATACTTTCATACTTAACTCACATTTGTCTGACGTTTTTCCATCACTGAAAATTGAATAGTTTATGGAATGGTTTTCTTTTTGATCCTAGAGGTTAGCGTTGCCAATGCCGATAGTCCAATAAATCGGTCGAATAGCTTTTCGGGAGACAGAGGACAATTGATAAATCGACATCCAATTATTCGACAGCCGTATAAGTTTTTCGTTAGATAGTTATTATAGCCATTTTGTCTTATTGAAAATCGGCCCTTAAACTTATTTGAATGTATGAATAAAATGCTTCATATTGTCGCAAATTACTCTATTCTTTACTGCAATAATGAAAAGCAATAAGTCAAAAAAGTGTGTATACAAAAACCACCTGTATTTACCCGGTATAGTAAGATAAAAAAATAATTCGCTTATAATTACATGGTGGTGTTCTATAAAGGAATTTTTACAAACAAAAATGCTTAAAAATATGGCCATTGAAAATGCTTCAGCGCATAGGATGTCGTCATTTCATGGGAGCAGTCCGTCTGATTCGCTGTGAGTGGGTAGTTTCCCTGGCAAACTGCGTCCTTGTGGAAAACCACCCAACCTGAAAATTAAAAATTTTATAGTTTTTAAGATTAGTCTTAAAATTGTAATAAAAACACTTAAAATACTTGGTTTTTGAAAATAACAACTCGCTGATACTTGATTAATAGTCTTAATTTCATTGTAAGGTGATCCTTTTAAGCTAAGTCTAACAAAAGAACAAAACCCTCTATGTGCTTAATGATGTCTTATGTTGACGCTAATACTGCACATATAAATTAATTTCATGGATGGATTTTATTGCGTATATTTTTTTTATATAAAATAAGGGTGACAAACTAGCTCACAATCCACTTGATGGTAAGTGGTTGCTGTGGCCCATAGATATCTACATATATCCTCGATTAAGAATCAAAGTGTAGATGCGTTGTCACCCCTGAGGACTAAGATGAAATGCCTCGTTTCCAGTAAAAATGGTCTCCGGTTCTCCACACTAACCATATGATGAAACACAACAGCTTTAAGCTGCTATTTAATGTTGGTTATCTGCGAGAGCGTGGTCCTTCCCCGGTTGAGCCGACCTATTCGTGCTACAAGCATATTGTAGCTGCAGCGTGGCGCTATCACGTGCATATAGTTGCAGCATGACTACTACCAGACGAATTTTAAACTGAAGGTAACCGTGGTTAACTAACATTGGGATGTCAAACACTGAGGTGTACTCCCGTGACCATGGGTACCTATTTGAAACGTCTAGAATACAAAATGTGCTCGTTTCTACTATCTTTTCAGTTTTATACAGAAAAAAAAAATACTGTCTCAAATATGGCATCACTTAAAATGGAAAGAGAACTATGAACATTCGGCGTGCTGAATTTGGTCTGAAGTCCGTAAAATAAATTAGTTTCCTTAGTAAGGATGAAGTTGTCAAAAGTTTACTGTAATATTGATAGCGTTAAGAGGGTATATTTGCCATAGTTGCCCTTGGCAGGCGAGTTGGCAACCGCAGTTTATTTTTTATTGTTATTATTGGGATGGTGCTGCTGACCATCTCCTGGTTTGTTTTCCTCTGTGGTCTTTTAGGACACCCATGGGACGTACATGGGGTGATTGCGGTTATAGATAACAAGCTTAAAAGAAATCCAAGAGTATTAAATGAACATACAATCCACCGAATGCTATTTTTTTTATAGGATAGGATAGGGTGACAAACGAGCACACAGTCCACCTGATGGTAAGTGGTTGCTGTGACCCATAGACATCTACATCTATCCTCAATAAAGAATCATAATGCAGATGCGTTGTCACCCGTGAGGACTAAGATGGAATGCCTCTTCTCCAGTTAAAAGGGTCTCCGGTTCTCTACACTCACCATACGAAACACAGCAGTGTTAAGCTGTTATTTTACGCAGGTATTCTGTGAGAGTGTGGTCCTTCCCCGGTCGAGCCGACGACCCATTCGTGCTACAACTCTACTCTTACCGAACTTGTACTCTTAACGACTAAGGTCAAATGTCTCGTTTCCAGTGAAAGGGGTTTCCGGTTATAAACAAAACATAGTAGCATTAAGTTGCTGATATTCTGTGAGAGCGTGTCCATACGCATTTGAAAACTTCCAAGTGTATTCAGAAGTTGTGTTATTATCATCATCACTACCACATCAATAGCGGCGTCTGCTTTTTAATCAAAATTTGTCACTGTGGTCAGTAAAAAAAGGACCAGTGTTTAGGAATATATTCGCCTTACCGGTGTTGCCCTCTCACTCTTGCAGTGGCTGTTTGTCGACGAATGTGGGCTGATGATGTTACTGGAAAAATGTCAATGCACTTTAATAAAACAAATTACGTGAGACAAAAATATATAAATAACATGATGTGACGGATTTCTCTCGTTCGCAGTAAGCGTCAACTCACTGTCAGAGAAACGCCTGGCATATATGTAGATAGATGGCGCTATAATCAATAGCCGCCCTCTTACGGTGCGTACATATTATATAACATAACATGTTAGGATGCGTACAGATTAAGTAACATGTTGTGTTACATTGTTTTTCAACATTGCAACATATAACAATACTGTACACATTAGAATAACAATGCAATATAACAATGTTATATGACATTGCCGTGTCCTTTGTCGTTTTGCCGTTCGAGTTATATGACACTTGTGGCACGTTATTAAACACGTTTTATACCATTCAGCCTCCACATTACTGAAACATGTTATAAAACATGGTTATATAATGTTATATAACATGTTTAAGTAATGTGGTGACTGAATATTATAAAATTTGTTTTTGTCACAAATGTTATATAACTCGAGAGTATTTTTCTCTAGTCATAAACTATGTTTGTTTGGGACGAACCCAGTATCTATGTTTTTTTTCTTTTGTTATTTAAAAATACAAGAGTTGCTGCAGCAGCTAGCAAAACGTCTTCTCATGTCGACACTGTGAAGAACGACAAACGAAAATGTCATATAACATTGTTATATTGCATTGTTATTCTAATGTGCACAGTATTTTTATATGTTGCAATGTTGAAAAACAATGTAACATAATGTGTACGTGTTATAAAACCAAGGTTACACAACATGTTACTTAATCTGTATGCACCTTTAAATAAAAAGCAGAAAGTAAGCAATGTTACGTACGTTTGACCGTATAGTAACTGCGTAGTTGAATCCACTACCCCATATTATCCCTTAGGTATCGTAAGATGCGACAGAGAGAAATGTAATAGAGAAGAAACCTTAAAATACGAGGGCGGCACTGAAAATTTGGGGAATCAAGGAAGTGACACAACATTACTATTTAAAAATGTATTTATAGCTTTTCGAAGTATTCTCCGCGAAATGTGACACATTTTTCCTAACGATGGAACCAATCATTGAAGCAACCATTCCATTCGGAATTTTGGGTTACGAGGGTTAGATGTAATGTCTTTCTCAATGGCATTAAGGTAGGTACTGTGGGCGCTCGCAATACGTATCACAATTGGTTTTTCTCCACTGCGAGTGTAGTTTCAGTTTGCGTCTGATATCTTCAATAATATCGCGAGAAAACCACACAGGATACTGTTTAATACAAAATTTATTACGCTTTTTTTTAGGAATACAAATGTCAAAGATGTTATATATTATGTCATAAAATAATTCAGTGCATAAATGTACATCGTGCAAATTTGTAATATCACTCCATGGGGCTTGAGAAACCAAGTCGTATAAAAGAGTATAATCACCCTTGCAAAAGTTCCAGTCTTTGCTGTAGTCGATGTTATTAGCCTCAATGTGATCTCGATGACGAATTGCGCCGGTTGCTATTACAATGTCTAGTGGAGGATGGAAGTCAGGTGGAACAATACCATCAAAAGCTCGAACGCACGTTTCACCCATGTTTTCACTTTCCTGGACCAGGACTACATCTAACATTCCTCCTTTCATGTTCTTCACGCTATTCGTTTCTTTTAGTTTACAACTACTACTATAGCCAGCTCGGAGTCCTCAATAGATTTATCTAGGAAGGTCTCCGTCACTGCAACCAGGTGATGTTCGAGTACAAGCAAGTTATTTCGCCAGATCGCTAATTAAGTTTTTAGACCGCGTACATTTTGATAGATGATGTAGATATGCGTAGTTTTATAACTACGCGTCTGTAGGCGAAGGGAAGAGTTATTTAGAGGTTCGAAAAGGCTGGGAGTATGAGATTGATCTACCCATTGCTGGCTCATGGTTTGAGTCACGAAACACGTTCAGCGGTACGGGAGGGCAATTCTTCAGATAGATTTACTGGAGTATGTGGTCTTTTAAGGTTAATCCAAGCTTTGATTCGGGCGTTGACAGGCCAAACATGAGCAGAGAAAACTTTTTCATGGAAGGCTACTGGGACTCCCACTTTAAATGACTTATAGTTACCCTTTGGCTTAATTTCTTCCACTGTCCATGTTACACCAGGGCAGAGCTGGAGAAGGTATTGGCGGACTTCCTCGAGAGCAGACTCCATATTCCAAAGATGGATATATTTCTTCGTTTTGACAGCCCTGAGGGCAGTGACAGTTTGATCAGCAGTACCACATATAGATGTTAGTCGTCGCCTTTTCCTCTTTACCTCTGTCCACTGCAGGTTGGAGACGTCTTCAGGTTGATAGATGTCATTGTCAGGGCCGGTGTTAGAGCTGGTACTATTGGTGGAAGGTGGCTTAATGGTGTTGGGGCAAGCTTTGGGGTTATTCTGTTTAGCTAACTTTTTTTTGTTGGTTTTTGCAGTCTTAGGTGGTTCTATTAATGTTGTTTGTACTATTTTGTTCGTAGGCTGGTTGGACACTGAGGAGCATACCTGAGATTACGGCGCTTTTTGTGCTTCTTTGATAATAGCCACATTCTTCTGATGCAATACATGTACTGGTGGCTGATGTTCTGGTTTTTGAGGCATAGTATGCAGGTTGTCGAGACCATCAGTAGTCTTGTGAATGTCATACATATCGCAGTGAGTTCGTAGAAAAGCAACCTCAGATACAAATTTTGTAAGCTTGGAATCAAATCTACCAAGTCTTGAGTCGTATTTACTCATAGACGCCTCGTATCCAGCCAGTCTGACCTGGCATTCCTCCAGCTTTGCACTGTAGTCGGTTATCGCTGATACGGCACAACACAGTTGATTTTTCAGTGACGTTATTTCAGACCTAAGATCACTCATTTCACAGTTTGACGTTTGTACTTGCAGGTTGTGAGGTAGAGGTGTTGCTGAATTATTGTTATCTATTTTTTTTACGATGGGTGACAAAATGTTGATCACGGATTTTTTTGTTGATCCCACAGGTGTTAGACTATTATCACCACCCTTTTTGGAGGTACAGTGACACTCAGGACAAACCCAAGATTTCCTGGACTCCTCACAGGGCTCTCTCCCTCCAGCACATAAGACGTGATAAATTTTAAAGCACGCCTCCACAGTACATTGCACTCCACAATTCATATTTACGTCTTATAACTGAAGTAAAAATATGGGCATCGGCCACTCAATCCGGCTCGTAACGTAGTATAGTAGCGAGGTAGTGCAGCGGTGACCGAGCCCGATCGCCGCTGTGAGTCACGCACCGGCTAAGCGAGCGAGCTGCGGGTTGACGGTCAGTTACGCGACGGCTATCTGATATTATTAAATGAGAATGATTTTTGATGAGAGTGTTGTAGAACAATTAGTCGGCTGCGTGTTTGCGGCATTCAAAAATCAGAAATATTTCTTTATTGCACAGATATGCAAGTTTCATGACAATGTTTTCCCACACCGCCATTGTTTTATTTAAGACTAGCTGTTTCCGGCGACTTCGCCCGCGATTAATTTAGGGTTTTAATTATTTTGTAAATAGCCTAAGTTACTCCTTATAACATTAGCTATCTGCCAGTGAAAGTCCCGTCGAAATCGGTCCAGCCGTTTCGGAGATTAACCGGAACTAACAGACAGACAGATAAAAATTAAGAAAATTATGTTTTTGTTATAAGTACCGTATATAAACCCTCTCAGAAATGAGGGGAGGCCTGTGCTCAGCAGTGGGACTTATATAGGCTGTAACTTTAAACATATATACTTTCATATGCATTTAGTAAAAAGCTGTTTTAACATTACAAACAGACACTTCAATTTTATTTATTCGTATGTATAGATTACTTCGATACTTATATAAAATATCAGCGGAGCAGACTGGTAACGTCTAGTTATAATTTAAACTTACCCCAGAGAAGCTCTTTTGATGCCCGTTGCGGTAGTTTGTATCAAAAGCCGTGCGGGTGGTGTCGGTATTGTGCCGCTTGCCCGCCAACTGTAGAACATAATGTAAATTGTAATTTATTTTATCAGTGCGGTTAGCTAAGATGACCTGTTACGATCGTTAACGCTAAAGAAAACTTTAAAAATGAATGCGAATGAAACGGTTGAAGGAAAAGTCGCATGACAGTCACGCGACTTGGCGTTCATTTTATTTTTATTCATAAAACGTTACCTCCACGCTAGGATTTTCTCCTGTATCGTGGAGGCAGTTTACAAACATTTATTTCACAAGGACAAAACCGAATCCAGACCCGGAACAATTATTTGTAGGCCAGACAAATACTTGTTCCGTGCGGGATTCGAACCCGCGACCCCAAGCGTTGCAACTCATTGCTAAGCCATTACGCCACGGAGCCGTCAATTCCATTAAATAAACGATAATGTTGCATCATAGAACAAGCCCAATGTACACAGTAATATAAAGAAACGGATTGCGTATAAAGTTCACTGATAAGTTATTTTTGGAATGAGGTTCCTTATCGGACGGTTACGAATTTCGTGGATGGGGGCTAGGCGAGAGAAAAGTGTAAGGTTTTTCCGTCACGACACTTTCTAACGTAGTGTATCTAAGCCATCTGGCCTTAGCGGCTATAAGGAAGTGAGATGGAATAATATCCATCTCCCTCCTTTATAAAAAAAAATTATCTGAGACAAAGAGTCTTGCTATACATCGACTTGAAATGTACAATAACTTGCCTTGGTAGTCCGTCTCCTGCTCTTCTGTAAAACTGCGATCTCTTATATTCACCGCCGTTGTTTGTACAGCTGTTAGCTCTTTCGCTTTGAATGTTTAATTTCCGCACGCTAGGAGATCTCGCGAACCCTCTCGAATTTATTTTAGTGTCGTTTAGATCTGTATTGGAATGTTCATTGATTCTCGGTAACCTAGAACTTAATGTACAGTCTCCACTATCGTATACTACAATTGACTTCTTTGGTACATAATGAGATAGACTCCCTCTTCTTGGGCTTTGATTCGTTTGATATTTCTTTGGTTCATTACACGTTTTCTGTTTTTCTAAAATCTTCCCTTCGTCTAAATTTTGTCTCGAAACTTCTCTCGCATTCTCACTAATTAGCGATTGTTTAACTATAGTTCCGTTAGGTCTGGGCCCAACCGTGAACAGTTTCGTGTCAGGCGGTTTGAGAGGCACTGTTGACATTCTCCTATTTGGACTTTTAGAAGCCCGTGAAGGCGATGGAGTGTTGATAAATCTTCTATTGCTGGTGGTAGCGTCTTGTTCAGTCTTGGCTCTGTATTCTGGAGGCGTTACTGGTACAGGCTCGACTGTGTTTGTGGACCAGAGCATGTCGGTGCCGGCGACTGCGTGCATTTGGTGCAAGTGGGTCTTTATATTGTATATGCCCGCTATCGGACCGAAAGGATCTGCCTTTATTTGTGTGATTACGTCAATTTTAGTTTGACCACAGAGCTCGGATACTTGATTGTAAATCTGGAAGCAATTATTGTATGGTTCAGTTGGGAAATTAATACTGAAGTATTGCACACATTTTTGAAAACAGTTGCTTATTAAATGTTTGAACCAAAGAAATCAGAAAGGAAGGACCACGCTCTCACAAAATACCAGCGTAAAACAACAGCTCAATACTGATGTGTTGCGTATGATGAGTGTAGGTAATCAGATACCCATTTTACTGGAGACGAGGCATTCCATCTTAGTTCTCATGGGGGCCACGTATCTGCTTTTTGATTCTTAATCGAGGATAGATGTAGGTGTCTATGGACTACAACATCGACTTACCATCAGGAGGACTGTGTGCTCGTTTTTCACCCTTACTATAAAAAAGATGGTAGTTTTTTACCCTACCAGTCAAAATTATTACCCACCTTTGGGCGTCCGCTGTAATCGAGTAAAACAAAGAAAATATTTAATTTACCTCGCGATTGACTTTGGCCTCTGGAGCGGTAAGGGGATGTGTTTTCATCCTCATTCCAGGTTTTCTTATCCAGCGGTGCCTTGCGGCTTCCTCTATCTTCATCCTCAGTTCTACGTTGGGTTCAAGCAGATGCCGAATAAATGTCTTACATTCTGTAAGCAACACCACAGCTAAGATTATATATGACAATAAATGCGAGTCATTTTGTTTTACTTGTGTGCGGATAAATACAAGAGACTATTCATGTGTGTGTGTGTGTGCTAAAATTATATCATTATATTTTTACGTGGTAGAGCCATGCTGCAGCTATATTAATAGTATAGTTGTAGCACGAATGGGTCGGCTCGACCGGGGAAGGACCACGCTCTCATAGAATACCAGCGTAAAGTAGCAGCTTGATATTGCTGTGTTTCGTATGGTGAGTGTAGAGAGCCGGATACCTATTTTACTGGAAAAGAGGCATTCTATCTTAGTCCTCACGGCTGACAACGCATCTGCATTTTAATTCGCAAACGTAGATACATGTAAATGTCTATGGGCCACAACAACCACTTACCATCAGGTGGACTGTGTGCTCGTTTGTCACCCTTATTCTATATATATAAAAAATATCATGAGTATCATAGTTGACCGTGTAGTGGCTATGTAAGAATATACAATACCCGATATCGTTCCATAAGTGTCAGAAGAGACAAACCAGAATATTACTGGCAGCAGCGTCTGTCTTGTAACAAACAAAACAAAAATTTCAGCTGCCAACTCGTCCTTCATTCGTAGCGACCATGGCAAACTTCCCCTCTAAAGAGAAATCTATGGGGAAACCTATCTTCAACAGTGGACATTAGGCTGTAATAATAATAAAATAAAGTAAAAGCAGTTACCCCGAATAGAATACAATGAAATGATTTTTTTATTCAATATTGATTATTAAGTGGCGAAGCTTGCGAAGTCACTTATTGATTTCATGATGTCTGTCCGTCTGTCCGTCTGTCCCACGATTATCTCGAGAACGGTTTTGAATTTTCAAATTCTGTTTTCTGCAATCGATTACTGATCACCCAGGCATCTGAACCTCCTATTTTGAAACTGATTGCTCAACGGCAACCGTTAGAAACCGCTACAAAACTGATTGCTTCGCCACTTTGCTATGCTGTTAGCTTGCTAGGTTTATTATATAATACTTATTGAAAGTCATTTCTTATTTACCACTGGTTCGGAAATATCTCTGTGCTGGGAATAATCAGCAAGAAACCCAGCGGAACTTGTTATCAAACATATTTTACTTAACAATAATTTCGTTTATACAATTTTTAAATGATTTTTCATAGAACCAGCATGGTGGCGATCACCTTATTCCCAAGGGGGTTATTTTCATTCATGTATTCCTTGATATTATAATAACCCTTTTTTTTCTTTAATAATTCTTTTAAACTTGTTTATTGTTTATTGAAATTGGGAAATTACTGTTTTTCTGTGCATAATGAAGTTCTAGTTGTATGTTAAGCTAATAATGACTGCACTGTGAGTCATAAGAGGTATCGCACGGTTTGAGCTATGGCAGGCTCACTACACTCACCCTATGAATCACAGTAGCATTAAGCACCTATTTTAGGCATTCGATAAGAGCGTGTTTCATTCCCGGTTGCACCGACCCATTTGTACTACAACTATATTACAGCTGCAGCGTGGCTCAACCACGTATGAAAATATTTTTATTGAAATAATTTTTATTTCATAATATAATTTTTCTGTTACAGGTAACACCAAAAGAGCGCCTTCTGAGGGTAGTCGCGTTACGTTTTTATGAAAGGAACTGAAAGTGTTGTACTAAAAAATATTTTGATTACTTGGAACTGTGCATAAGAGTTTCTAGTGCTATTGTTATAAGTAATGTGTAAGCTAATAAGGAGAACTTGTAAACTGATTTTTTGTAAAATAATTTTATATTATAATGGTGTTCATTATTATTATTATTATTCTATTATCGATAGTAATAGCTTTGATCAGTTACCCCAAGACTTTCAGGAATTAATTTTAATATTTTATTTTTATTTAAACTTTCATGCTCAAAGTTGTACATACGAGGGCGGTACTGAAGATTTCGGGAATCAAGGAAGTGACACAACATTACTATTTAAAAATGTATTAATTGCTTTTCGAAATATTCTCCGCGAAATTTGACACATTTTTCCATACGATGGAACCAATCATTGAAGCAACCATTCCATTCGGAAGTTGGGGTCTCCAAAATGGCCGTTTTGTAGGCGTCCACAGCTTCTTCAGGTGATGAAAATCTCTGTCCACGTAATTTATTATTTATTTTAGGGAAAATATAGAAATCATTAGGGCTTAGGTCGGGGCTGTACGGCGGATCGTCTAATAATTCTATGTTTTCTTGCTCTAAAAATTCTTTTGTTCTGTGTGCGGTGTGAGAACTCGCATTGTCGTGATGGAGGATGATGCGGCGGTTGCAGTTCTCTTTACGGAGTTCAGAAACGACCTGTGGCAAACAAATGCTAGCATACCATTCTGCATTAACCGTTCTTTGTCCCTCAAGAGGAATAGTCGTAACATGGCCGGTTTTGGAGACAAACGTGGCCACCATTTTTTTTGCAACACTCCGTGAAATAACAATTTTTGTTGGCTTTAACTCATTTTCGAACACCCAAACTCGTGACTAGTTTTTTGTGTCGGGTTCGTACGCGTTTATCCAGGACTCGGCACCTGATACGATGTTGTATACAGCATTTGAGGATCCTGCGTGGAATCTTTCTGAGTTCTGACGCACCAAGTAACGCGAGCCGCTTTTTGCTCTTCACAGAGCGAATCCGGTATCCATCGGGAAAACAACTTTTTTACACCTAATTGTTCATGCAAGATTATTTGTATTTGACTCATGCCAATGTCTAAAGTTGCCTGAATTTCGCGGTATGTCACATGTCGATCTTCCTCAATCAGCTTACGCACAGCATCAACGTTTTCTTGGGTGACTGCAGTTTTTGGACGACCTTGACGGGGATCATCACTGAGCTTGACACGTCCACGTTAAATTCAGCAAACCAGCGATAAATTGTGGTTTTGGATGGGGCTTCATCACCAAATGCAGAAATCATCCGGTCAACACACTGTTTTTGTGTTAAACCACTTCGAAAGTCATAATAAATCATCGCTCTTGAATTTTCTCGAGTCAATTCCATTTTCTCAACGACTAAACAAGTTTAACAAAACCTTGTGACAAGACCGAGAATCTTTTTTTAAATAAATAAATGGTATTCGATTTTTAAAACCAAGGAGTTTTCAATTAAAAAGATTTTAATATGACAGGAACAGTGGAAATATTCCATTCCCGATACTTTTAGTGCAGCCTATGTATGGCGGACTGAATTCAGTAGGGCATTATCCCCTTTCTCCCTCCATATTATTTAAAAAAAAAACAAATAGACCGCTGATATAATTCATATAAGATATATTAAATTAACATATAATGTATATATAGTTCGAAGAACCGACCACCGATAAGAAAAAAAGGTCTTCGAGTGGCAGCCTCGTACCGGTAAGCGAAGTGTAGGGCGACCACCTACTAGATGGAGTGACGACCTGGTAAGACATGCAGAAAGTCGATGGATGCAGGTGGCTCAGGACCGTGCTTTGTGACATTCCTTGGGGGAGGCCTATGTTCTGCAGTGGACTTGTAATGATGATGAGGCTGTAATGATGATGATATATTAGATTAAGACCGTGTAGTGGCGGTGTAAGAAGATCTACTACTCGGACGTGGGTGTCGTAAGAGACGACAGAGGGAAACTGAAACAGACTAAAATAAAACTGTTGTTGCCAAGCGTGGCAACTGTGCCAGACGTCACCCCCGTGAGGCAATCTGGGAGTTCTATGTTCAGCTGTGGACTTTCGATAGGCTGTAATGAATGAATGAACCAGTAAACAATTTACTGTTGCATATGAGCCTCTCCCATAGTAGGGGGACCATTTTCTTTCATCGCCACGCTTGGTAGGCTGATGTAGATCAAATTACCAGGTATCAGTGTGTGGTTTACTTCTTTAGTTTTTATTTCCATACTAGCTGTTATCCGCGACTTCGCCCGCATGTTATTTGGGGTTTTAACATTTTAGCGCGGAACCCTAATTCTTTTTCTAAAATTAAAGTGGCCTAAGTTACTCCTTGTGACATCAGGTATCTGCCAGTGAAAATCCCGTCAAAATCGGTCCAGCCGTTTCGGAGATTATCCTGTACAAACAGACAGACAGACAAAAACTTTAAAAATTGTTTAAATTTCGTTATTAGTACCGTATATACTTTCATATGCATCTAGTAAAAAGCTGTAATTTAGACATTACAAACAGACACTTCAATTTTATTTATTTGTATAGATTTATAGATCATTTTAAAAATATATTATTTTATATAGATTGTGCAACCTATACAGCCTCTATAACACTGAAGGCTGTTTGATTAAAAAAAAAACTAACAAACCCTAACAACATTATCAACCATTTTCCGTCGTGTATATCTTGCGTATAACTTGAGTGTTACCCGGCTGTCTGTCTCCGGCTACCCAGTACTCACCACTGGACACACAAGACAACGCCGTGCGTTGTTTCCTGGTGAATCCCCGAGCGATGGCGGCGCGTAGCTGCGGTCGCGACTGGCCCTCCTTCTCTGCATCAGTAAACGGCAAACTGCCAGTTACCATTCCATACACAATCACGCCGCTGTGGAAAAGGAGTAAAGTTTGTCACTAAGTAAATGATGAGATGTTTTATCAAGGCGTATAATGTGTTTTACTACACAGTTATTTGTCGATCATCCAACTCCGAACGTTGGCTGAAATCTAGTGCCTCCTCTACACTACTCGCGAAGTAGATCGAAGTTGGACGAGGCGAATAGTGTAGAGAGGTACTTCTATTCGTTTCGTGCAACCTCGCTTCGCCTCGGGCGATTTTCGATCGCAGTCGATTTTTTGCGCCAGAATCAAAGGACTTCGCGAAGTACCCCGAAGTTACACGAAGCGTCTCACTACACTACTCGACGTACGCCAATTATGAATATTTTTTTATATATTTCAAACAAAAGCTGCCTCTCGAACGTTATTCATGTTAAGGGTGAAGGAGACTCAAGACGATTGAGCTCTTCGCGAAGTAGCACGAGTGTGTAGTCACGTTCTTCGGACTGCGATCGACTTCAACGAGCACTTCGTCAAAGTTACTTCGCCAGTAGTGTAGAGGAGGCATAAGTAAGCTCTTTCGACCTCCATTGTATCGACCGCATCGTATATGTGAAGGTCACTTCGTATATACGATGCGGTGTAATAGAACCCATCACCATATTTCATCGTTTCGGTGTTTTAAGAGATGGTTTTGAGAAATGCGAGAAAGATATCATGATCATCAATATTCAGATCAGCGACGAGAAGCAGCGTGAAATGAGCAAGTACATGGTCAATCTACCAAATCGTCACTGTCTACCTACTGAGCGTTGTGATTAAGGCAAATTCTCTTTACAGCGCGAATACGAGGGGAGATCAAAAAGTTCGCGGAATTGGCGAGGGATAGTTTACTCATCCAGGCAGATGCGTTTTTTTTTTTAATTCTCATTTCATCTGCTGTTGTTTATTTTACAGCACCTTTGATAACTGTATTAATATTTTTTCTATTTTTAACTTCTATTTTTTTTGTTTTTAATTGTTTTTTTTTTTTATTTTTTTTATTACAATATTCTGCTTCTGCCTTACTATACAAGTACTCATTATGAGATTTAATTCATATAGCATTTATATGGTTGGTTTGGTTACATTAATAAGATTATACTAATAACGATAAAATAATGCTAATTACTTATTTGCTTAAGGCTATACTACTGACTGCATTAATATTGTTTATATTGATTTATAAACTATTACTACAGTTCTATTACTTATTATAATTATTGCTATTTTAAAGAATTAATATTTCGTGCCCTATTATAATTGCTTCTACCAACTGTTTATTCGGCTATAGTTATCTACTGCTACAACTATATACATATACATACACATATATACATATAAATTATATTAATTTTTTTTTCCATTTTCCTTAGGCTAATATATTTTTGACCCATTTTCTTGTAGTACTCTTCTCAAACACCTTTCGGCGTATTCAAGAAAATGGGTCCGACTGTCATTGTCATTGACCGCCCTACACAGATTGTCCTCTGTTATCGCAAAGCCCACTCTGTGTTCGCAACAAAGTCTTAGAGTCGCGTGTCTAGGGCAATCTATTAGAATATGTTCAATTGTCTGTGGTGTAACGTGGTCGCATTTACAGTGTGGGCTCTGGGCTAACTTAAATTTATGCAGATATGCTTTGAAGCCTCCGTGACCCGTAAAAATTTGACACATAAAGTTGTTTATTTTAATCTTCTTTACTGTTGCATATGCCTGGATCACGTTTGGGAAGAACTTCTTCGTGACCCGTCCGGTATCTGATGTGGTATAAATTTCTTGCCAGGTCTGTAAAGTGTTATCCCTGATGTAGCGCTTTGCAAAAGACAGAGGGAAGCAGTCGTAGACAGGCGTCCGTTTACATGTTTCCGCAGCCGATTTAGCCAGTTCATCAGCTCTTTCATTTCCCGGAATGCCACAATGGGCTTTGATCCAAAATAATCCTATTTTTCCTTGTTTCTTTTCTATTTCCGAGATACGGTCCAAGATCTCTGCTGCTATAGGGTGTAAGGTGTTTGGATTGGTGAGGCATTCTAACGCTGATCGCGAGTCACTTAAGATGTTTGCCTTTTTAAGTGATTGTCTACTTAACATAATTTCTGTAGCTTTTAAGATGGCTGCAAGCTCTGCTTGGTAGACACTGCAGTGGCTCCCCAGTTTTAATTTAGCCTTATGTATTTCTGCTCCATCCTTCCAGCAAGTTATAGCAGCGCCTACTTTCCCTCCGATTTTACTGCCATCTGTGTATATACATGGCCAGTTGTTTTCGATGGCGTTTATGTCAGTTTCTGATGTAATCATCCCGTATTGTCGACTTATCCTATCTGCTGGGTGTGGTAGCGTGTAAGGGCTTATGGGTTTAGCTAGTTTCCTGCCAGGTAAATGAGCAATAGGTTTCCCCCGTTTTATCGAGTAGATTTCGGCATTTTCTCGAGCTCTTAAGTCTAAGGGGAGAATTCTGGTCAGAGTTGTGCAGGATACTAAAGATGCCGTACGGTGTGCCTTGCTTATCATTATAGTGAAAATTCTAGTGATTCTGTCAAGCCTGACTTTTATTTGCTTACTTGCTGTTGAACCACATGCTCCTGCCGCATATAACACTGTAGGTTCTACTACCGTAATGTATATCGTTCTTAGAATTTCAGGATTCAGACCCCAGTTAGCTCTTGCTGTTCTTGAGACTTTCTTGTAGAGTTGGGTGGCCTTTTCCGTTGCAGTATCTATATGTTTTATAAAATTAAGGTTTGCATCAATCGTTAGTCCAAGGATTGTTATACTTTTTGAAAACATTATTGTTGTGTTATCAAGGAACAATTTGGGTGTGTCATATTTTAGTTTTCTAGTCAAGAGAATTGCTTGGGTTTTCTGAGGCGCCAGTTTCATTTTTCGCGTTTTTGTCCATGCAAGAATGTGATCAAGTGCTGTGTTTAGTTCGTACTCTAGATCCTTTGCTGTTTTCCCTTTTGATATGACCAATATGTCATTTGCATACGCCTGTATGTGGGTACCTAGATCTTCTATCTCCCTTAGAAGTGGGTCAAGTAAGAGGTTCCACAGCAAAGGTCCGCAGGTTGACCCTTGTATACACCCCTTGTTAGTTTGTTGCATTACCTCGGTGCCTGCATACGTTATTTTTACTTGCCTATCAGTGAGATAACTATTAATTAATCTGTATACTGATCTGTCGACTTTTTCCTTTCGAGCTCAATTATCATTGCAGGCCACCAAGCGTTATCAAAAGCTCCTTCGATATCGATGGAGACAAGAGCGACAATTTCTCTATTCTTTAATCCTTGCCTGACAATCTCGAGGGCGTCGCATAGGGCGTCCTCAGTCCCTCTCTGTGAGACAAACCCATATTGCCTACCACTCATTTTACTTTCTGAGCCGAGCTGCCATGTCATACAGTTAACAAATAATTTTTCTAACACCTTGCCCAGTACAGGTAGGAGTCCTATTGGCCGGTAAGATTTAGCTAGTGTATAGTTCTCCTTGTTCGTCTTCGGGATGATTTTTATGATAGCATTTTTCCAAATCCGCGGGAAATACCCCAGGGTTAGGCACCTATTGTAGATGGCTGATAGTACTTCCGGTGCCGTCATATATGCCCTGAAACATATATCAGCGGTTAGTCCATCTTCTCCTGGTGATTTCTTTTGGCTCATACTACTGAAGACGTTATCGATCTCAGTGAGTGTAAAAGGTATCACAGTTTCATCATTGGAGATGCTCAATAGGTCTTTCCTAATTACACTAGATCTGTTTCTAATTTTCGTATGTTGGGGCTCATCAGTTGTGATTTCATCGATCGGATAAAATGTTTCAGCTGGGCAGATTTGTCCGGGGTTAAAAATCCACTTTCCGGAGTCGCTCTTAAAAGTGAGTCTTCAGGAGTTTTACTGGATTTGCGTATTATTCTGTAGATACCCTGCCACAAATTCTCTTTATCCTGTCTGGAACAAAACTCCTTCCAACTTGCTGTCATCGTTTCGGTTAATAGGTTTTTATATTCAGCTTTGGCTGTAATATATTCCTCGATTACGATTGGTCTTCTCCTTTGGTTTGCAAATCTTATCTTTCTTCTTTTCCTAGTTACGTCTTTTTTCTTTTCACTGAGTTCTTTAGTCCACCAAGGTGTTTTTGTGGGTACTCTCTTAGCAATATTGGGAATCGTTTTGTTACATGACCTTTGTATGCATTCACTGTATAGTTTTGCAAGGATTTCCATGGATTCTATAGATTCTGTGGTTAATATTTTGTCCTCGGTTATATTTACGGAGCTAAGTTCTTCTTTAAATTTATCCGAAAATTTGTTCCAGTCAGCTTTCTTTGTATTATAAGTGCGCGTAGATCGTCTTTCTTTTGCTTCTACTCTGATGTTTGCAAAGTTCAGGTACGTTATCGCCCTGTGATCTGAAAGTGTGACAAATTCCGGATTCACCTTCCAATTAAATGTTTTGCGAAGCAAGCTAGTAGTGCACGCTGTCACGTCAACAATGCTAGTATAGTGTTTTTGCTGTCTGTAAACAGAGAAAGTTGGTGTTTTTCCCACATTTAAAACATGGAGTTCCAGTTGAGCTAATGCTTCTGCCACGGCTGCTCCCCGTCTATCCTCTACATCACAACCCCACCAGGGACTTTTAGCATTGGTATCTCCTCCAAGGAGAACATGTTTTCCTTCTAGGACGCTGATGTAATTTGCTATTTTGCAGAAATCTTCTTCAACGTCTTGGCCTCCTTCCAGATACATATTTATAATAACAATTTCTAAGCCTTTGATACTAAATTTACAAGCTACAATGTTTTCAGTTATAGTTTCGGAGTTAATAGTAAAATGTATAGCTGGATCAACGACAATGACAGCCGCTTTAACCGGTTTTTGGCTATCGTTAGTGTGTTTTTGTATTATTCTATGTTGGCAGGTGACGTGAGCTTTCGCTCCGACATAAGGCTCCTGTAACAGGAGAATTGACACACCCTGAGCAACTGCCATTTGCAGACATTCTTGTTGGGCTGCGTGTCCTCTCCCTAGATTTATTTGGGCCATTTTGATAATTGCGTCTTTGGAGGTTGTGGTCTTTTGTTGAGAGATATCGTTGTTCTCAACAATAAGATATAGTTGCTCTCGCGATTCTGTCCCACTTCCTCCATTCTAGACACTCTGGACTATAGGCTGGGTGACTACTGTTTTGGTAATTGCCCCTTTTTCCGATGCAATTTGCACATTTTGGTGCCTTGTTTCTGTTGTGACATCCTCTGCGCAATAATCACAGTTTGTTCTTTGCGCTTGACACTCCTTTGCTCGATGGGAGAAACCAAGACACCTAAAACATTGAGTGATAGGTGATTGGTCGACGGCTGGGACTATTTGGAAACCAATTCTAATCTTTTGGTCTCTAAATTTTGTCCATATCTGTGGACTCACCTCTAAAACGATATTACAAGTAGAACTTGTGCGTCCTTTCGTTCTTCTGATAACTCTTATATATTGTTGTGCAAGTGAGGTGTCTTTAAGGAGAGCACTATTTTGTCTTATGATGGCTTCCTGATGGATGGATGGTGTATCTGTAAGGTCAAAGACAACTCCAATCAATCGTAAGAGTGGATTCCTTGATGTTGGTTTATAGACAGTAAATTTGGCCGTTGTGTTCTTTAAATTATCCTGTAGGATATTTCTATCCCCTTCGGATTCGCAGCTTATTAGCACTTTTTGATTTCTTGCCTTTTTGATGTTACTAATGCCTATTCCAAGTGCGACCACATCAATGCCGCTCTTTACCTCCTTTATTATATCTTCGCTCGTGCTTCTTGGATCGATGGACTCTACTATTATAGGGTAATGTGGCTTCCTAACTACCTCAGAGAAAGTACGTGAAGGGTTCTTTTGTCTGAGCATTGATGGGAAACGATTTTGGTCAATAGTGTAAGAGTTGTCCTCAGGGAATTGAGGCTTATAACATGTATGTTCTGTTTCTTCTGTCTGTGACGTGGTTTTCAGTTCATTCCTAAGACCCTCTATTGCCACTCGAATAGGAGCCGCTGATTCCACTGTCGTGTCTCTGAGTTCTTTTGTCTCCTTTCTTAATTGCTCTCTCGGCAGATGCATTTACTCATCCAGGCGCGGGTGAGTTTACTCATCCAGGCCGATGCGTTTACTCATCCAGGCGAGGGTGAGTTTACTTATCCAGGCAGATGCGTTTACTCATCCAGGCGAGGGCGAGTTTACTCATCCAGGCAGATGCGTTTACTCATCTAGGCGAGGGTGAGTTTACTCATCCAGGCAGATGCGTTTACTCATCCAGGCGAGGGTGAATTAACTGATCCAGGTAGGCGCTAGTTGAGTGACTCATTGTTAGTATATATGCCAAGTTTGAGCCTAATCGGGTCATTAGCTTTTGAGTTATCAACGAGTAAGCAAGTCAATCGGGAATTTGTTTACTACTACGGAAACTAGCCACTATGGCTAAAATTGAATATCGCGCCGTCATTAAGTTTCTCACCAAACAAGGAAAGCCACCTCAAACCATTTTTCAAGAGATGTCAGCATATCATATCCATAAATCATGATTTATAAATGGCACGCCCTTTTCAAGGGAGGATTCCATTGAAGACCACCCCCGACCTGGACGGCCGATTGAGGTTACCACGCCAGATATAATCGAAAAAGTTGAAAAACTTGTATCAGAAGATGCCCGGCTAAAGAAATAATTAAAAATTAAAAATTTGGACAACCGACTTCAATATAAATTATTAAGAATAGCTCAAAAACTATTGGTCAGACCTTGATGAAATTTATATGGGGCTTTCAAATAAAAAAAGAATAATCGAAATTGGTTCACTCAGTAATAGTTATGAGGTAACTAACACACATAAAAAAACATACAGTCGATTTTTATTCTAAAAAATTTGGCTACGATGATGAAGTGAAATCGGCAGTTTCGGCCTATTTTGACGCCCAAGAAAAATCTTTTTTTTAAGACTGAATTAATAACTTATTTGACATATCTAATAAATGTATTAGGATTAAAGGAGAATACATTGAAAAGGAAAAATAGTTTAACGTTTCATTTCATTATCCTTCCCTGTCATTCCGCGAACTTTTTGACCTCCCCTCGTAGCTATGTCCAATATTGAGCTCTTACGGATTGATGAAGATCATACACGTATAACTTTAAAGCTTTAGTGTAAACGTGTTTGGTATATGCAAGCTTTGCTTCCAAAAATTCTGGTTGTGTGTGTGTGGGGGGGGGGTGGGTGTGTTTTGTGTGAGTTGGCGTAATTTCTATGATATGGTGTTGATTTTTCATCCCATTTCACCCCGTGGCTATCGAAAGAGTAAATTTAGGGAAATGCAAGAAAGACCTAACGAGGTATATCATCTCGTATATCACAGATATGAAACAACACGTACGGAGAGCAACATGTACTGCGATGGGCAATCTACATTTCAAGTGGCATACATGGTTACTAGTCTGTTGGTCATTTTGGGTAGCTCCGTGCCGGTATTAAGCTACTAACATGCTCCAGAGATCCACTTCGGGTCCGTAGCGACGTCCGTCCACGAACAACTCAGGCGCAGCGTACTCCAGCGAGCCGCACGGAGTGCGAAGAGCGCCGCTTACATTCCATACGTTGGACAGGCCGAAATCTGTTAACATATGTTCGGAGGCATCAAAACCTTTTTCCTTTCCAACTTTGAATGATAATGTCCTATGGCTATTTCATAATTAGACAATTTAAGATTTCAGTCCTTCAGGCGAACATGAAAACAACTAATGACAGGATTACCTATAGTGCACGAGTGTGTGCGCAAACACCGGTGTAAGGGAATACCTTACTTTCATAGTTAGATTGGACAGCAATCCGTCACAACCGGGGACAGATCAGGGGCAGCACTAACAGTTTTACTTGTTCTCCGAGGTCTGCTTGTGAGAATTTCTTGACAAGAAAATCAATAGGTAACTAGTAACTGATTTTGGCACGACTCGAACCCGCGACTACATAATCAGCAGTTTCGCTAACGACAAATAGATCAACGAGGCACAGCGTACAAACGTGCCACGACCAGTCGTGACAAAACCTTTAATTTCTAGAGGACTATGGAACTATTAGTTTGCCCCACTATTCCACTTCGTGTTGGCGGAATTTGCATGTCCTCTAAAAAAAATTTTTAGACATACAGTCCTTTCCTTTTCCTCAGAATGTTTTCTATCACCATCGATCATGTAGTAAATGAGAATTTCTTTTCAAACTGCTATTAGTAATTTTATTGGCGCCGATGGAAACGAACATGAGTTATCCACACACTATAAAATTTACGGCGAACGTTTAGTAAGCTGGCACGGACTTAATATAATATTGCTAATATACTTTAAATTATCATCATCATATATATCAGTTCGTAAAACTAGTATTCGGATTAATTTCAGTCGTCAAATTTCACGAACGCACATCGCGACAAAACTCAGGATATCATCTACACCATCTGGATGCTTGGCGGTCCACCACTGTGTTTTACTAGGAGTTTTCTTCCACGTACGACCTCTTAGTGGAATCGTTTACCACCGGCATTTTTTCCGGACTGCTACGACTTAGGGACATTCAAGAAAAGAGTTTACTCCTATCACTTTTGACGCTGCTCACCGTCGCAGGCCTGGGTATTACACCTAACGTAACTAATATTAAATACCTTACTTGCCCTTAATCCCTCAGAAATAAAGCCTGTACCCAGCAGTGGAATATGTAAAGGCTGTCGTAACTTTATACTCGCAATAACGAAAGAAACAAGTTTTTTCTGGGTTCCAGCATATTCGTCTTCTCTTACTACACCCAATGGAGGACATGGGGTGAAGGTTTTTTTTAATAGGATAAGGGTGACAAACGTGCACACAGTCCACCTGATGGTAAGTGGTTGCTGTGGTGTGACATCTATATCTATCCTCGATTACGTATCAAAATCCAGATGAGTTGTCACCCGTGAAGACTAAGGTGGAATGCCTCGTTTCCAGTAAAAAAGGGTCTTCGGTTCTCCACACTCACCATACGAAACACAGCAGTGTTAGGCAGCTATTTTATGCTGGTTTTCTGTGGCAGCGTGGTCCTTTTCCGGTCGAGCCAACCCATACGTGCTATAACTATACTACTAATATAGCTGCAGCATGGCTCTACCACGTAAAAACAATTTAAGATTATTTTAAATACAAGCCATGCTACTATTGCTTACTCACCAACAATTTTGATAAACTGTTGCGTACTATCCAGCATGATGTTCTCCATTTTTAGATCTCTGAAAATAAGCAAAAAATATGTGCTTTAATTGTGTCTGGTATTTATGTACTTACATTTCTTTTTAGATAAAATATAAGCTGAAATTTTTACTCTTTGCGAGTTCAAATTAAGATGCTTAATAAAAAGCGCAAAGTTATTAAGTTAATATTCATTATTAAACTAGTAACCCGCCCCGGCTTCGTCTTGATAAGATCTATTAAAGTAACGATATTTCGATTTATTATAATCATCATCAAAGACCATTTATCTTATCAATTTTTTGATTTAAAAAGAAATAAAAAAATAGTTTTTTGAATATACAACAGCCTACATCACTCCTGTCGTTGTTCTAAACCTGATCGTGAAGATTCCAGCTTAATGTTGCTGTGTATCGTATGGTGAGTGTAGAGAACCGATGGCCTTCTTTACTGAAAACGAAGCATTCTATCTTAATCCTCAGGTGAGACAACGCATCTGCATTTTGATTCTTAATTGAGGATAGATCTATGGGTCACAGCATCCACATACCATCAGATGGACTGAGTGCTCGTTTGTCACCCGTATTCTATAAAACACAATACGTGGCATGATGTTCAGCCGCTCTGAAATTCGCGCTCCGACTGAGTTAGTGTTGGCGAAAGAAAGCGCAATATCAGCGTTGCCGCTCACTCGTTTTATGGCTGCGACTGGCGCTAGGTTAAAAATATCGATATTTTCTCATAAACATATCAATTTATATAATTAATAGAATCAGGCGTTACTTTGCGGAAATCCATTATAATGGGGTTGTTATAAACTAATTTGCTTAATTCCGCGTAAAGAAAGACGCTTATTTAGCGGCCAGCCTCCGCAGAGTCCACTTCACCTGAGGATGCCTCGTGTAGAGGCGAAACACGTGTCTTATTTTCGAGAGTGATCTGTCGTGCCTAGTGTGGTGGTACTGGGGGTGGTAGTGCTGGGGTTAACGGCGACGGGTATAGTGTGCGCGGTTGAGGGAGGGTGGGCGGTTTTTATTTTATTTTATATTTTATTGATATTCGATATTTATTTTAGAATATCAAATTCGTATCAATTTCGATATATTTTAAAATGTTGTATTAATCGACAAAACATAAACAATAAAAACAGCTACAAAAGCATTCATGTGCTGTTGTCGTTTTTGTCTCGTCGTCCAACCGTCCAGTAATAGAATTTTTGGCCTTATCCTACTACATTATGCAAAACATGACAACATATCGATATTTATCACGCGATAATATATCGATACGTTTTAAAAACAACGATACGATATACAAAATGTAACAAAAACCCTGTGGTTCCCGTTAAGTACGTTATCAGGATCAGTATTCAAACTTATAGAAATAACTTTTTTTTTAAACTCGACCATATTTTTTTTTATTTTTGTTATTTTATGAGGTTTTATTACCTCTTACTGACACTAGCCGATGTTAAATCTAAGTAAAGCGGGGTCTTTGATAATCCTCTTACTCCCCAGACAATGCAGAGGTAATAAAACCACATACAATTTGCATACAATTTTTTTAAATAAAATAAAAAAATCATTGTTCGAGTTTAAAAAAAGTTATTATACGTTCGAATAATGATCCTGATAACGTACTTAACGGGAACCACAGGGTTTTTGTTACATATTTTATGTCGATAAATTTTTTTCACTGACCCATCCCTAACTGGCGCACAGTGTGGTTTCTACTTTAAATACACATTTTTCAAAACGACTTGGTTAATTTTTTTCGCAGTTTATGAAATACTTGTTTTATTTTATTTCGCATCGCATCGCCTCGCACTTTTAAGCGATGTGTATTCTATGCGATATTTATTTATCGCAAATAGTTTGTACTACAATGAATAAATTTTACTCATTAATCTAACCATCACAGCCTATAACAAGTTCGACGGCTCAGTAGGGTACTGACTAAGGGTATAGCTGCGGGGCACGGATTCGATTAGCGCACAGAGGAAGCAACGTTCTAAAAGTAAAGGTTCTACGTGCCTTACATTATAATATATAAATATTTGTTTTTAAAACATATATTTCTACTAACCGATGCACAACGCCTCTGGCATGCATGTGCTTCACTGCAGAGACCAGCTGTGTTGCTAATGTTCGCGCTCTTCCTTCGGGCAAGCCTCGCGCCGTTCCACGACTTGATAACACGTGGGCGCAAAGATCTCCGCCACCTGCAGCTTCCATCACTACATACAACCGAGGCCCGTGCTGGGAACATCGCGCCATTATTATTACAGAATCAATAATGAACGCGCTACATCAGAAGAGAATTGTTGGAAATTAGACACATTTGAATTTGGATTTAACTTATTATATACAAGCTGTTCCCCGCGACTTCGCCCGCGTGGAGTTATTTTTCGCGGAACCCTAAAATAAAAGCAGCCCAAGTTACTCATAACATCAGCTATCTGCCAGTGTGTATAAATATTGAAAAAAGAATTAGCTAAATCGGTTCAGCTGCTCTCGAGATTTGCGCTTAGCAAAACATTCAGCGATTCATTTTTACATTATAGAAATATTTAGTATTTTAGTATGTAATGTAAGAGAAAGTTTATTTTAAAATTCGCACTGACGGAAAACTAAAAAAAAATGTAATAATTCAATATCAATATCAAACGTATCTGCAATGTAGGTATTCATGGTATAACGTAAACTTTGATAAAACTATTGATGTATGCTAGCTGGCTTTTACATAATAGAGGAGCCCAATAGATGATATTTTGGATTTACTCAAGCGCGTCAGAGTAAGGTAAGGTGGGTTGATTACGAGCCAAAAAGAGTGCATTTAGAAAATCTGACGATTTGAGCTTAATAACGTAAGGGAGCTGGAGGGTTACAAAGTTGCAAAAAAAAAAACGTTGTCTTGACATTGTCGTGCGTGGTTGACTTTTTTTAATTTTTGATCGAAATAATGGAAATATAACAAAAAAATAATCTGCCGATTTTCACTAGTTGGATTAAAGCATGTAGGTATATCCCACTCTATGCCTCGCTCACTCTTTCACTTTTTTCCTATCTCTTGCCATCCCCACCCATTCAGTCACATTTTATGGTTATAGAGAAAAAAAAAGTTCATAATTAATTTATAAAAAAAATATTTCTAGCATTCAGATTATTAATATCACTCAAAATAATCGTCACATTTTCAGATACCATAACTGGGAGCTAACAGATTATTATACAGAAGGTTCAGTTTGATATGGTTATCAAGCTGAACCTTCTGTATACATATAATAATCTGAAACGCTCGAGTATTTCAATATGGCGATTGTTTTTCGCATTTTTAAAAATTCTCTACGAGCTTGCGTCACTTCCCAATCCTCAGTATTTTGAATGGGAGCATTTTTAGAGTTCACTTAACATCCCCTTTAAATATCTGATGCGCTATAATTAATTTTTGAGCATCTGTAGTAGTTTGTAGGTAGTTTTTACATTTTTGATAATCTGTAGACGCTTCCCCCCACCACTAGAAGGGGAAACATTTTGTTACTTGTTTAACTTCCTATCAACAAATCTACAAAATCTAATAAGTCCCCAAGACGCTCGTGTGAATCCAAATTCAGCATCATGGGCTCCCCCCCTACTAATAGAATAGAATATAATACTTCTATCTCTATCTATATATTTAAAAATCAACTGCTGTCCGTTTGTCTCGCTAAAGCTCGAGAATGGCTGGACTGATTCTGATGAAAATTTTTGTGTGTATGAGTGGATAGTTTAAATTCATAATTGGACCTGGTAGGTGGCGCTGTTGTCGAGATCTGGAATTCTTCCGTGCGAAGCCGGTGCGGATCGCTAATATAATATAGATTATAAATAATTTTTATTGATCATCATTTTGTACTTTGCTCACTGGTACAGAATAAAACCGTTTATTTTAGGCTGGGATTTTTTTTACATTCGGTATAGACATCTAAAGGATGAATTAAAGGCAACGGGACACTGACATTTGCAAGAAGCGTTGAAGTTAGTTTCCATCTGTAGGCAGACAAGGATCACTCTATGAGTTATCGGTTCTTTGGTACAAATTGCGCACGAACATAGGTGCAAACTATACTAATAATGCATGTTGTATATCTAATATATACAAATTAATTTCTACATAAAACTCTTACGCCTCTTACCCAGAGGGGTAGGCAGAGACTACGGACTTCCATTTGGCACGATCCTGACACACCTCTCTCGCCTCCTTTACATCCATATATCTACGCATGCATGCTCGTCGGCTAAGGGCAATCGTAATCTGGCCCCTCTTCAATATATCGCCAATTTAGTCGATAAAATTTCGTCTAAGGCTTCCCTTCCCGACCCTGCCGTTTACATCTATACAAATAAATAAAATTGAAGTGCGTGTTTGTAATGTCAAAATTACAGCTGTTTACTAAATGCATATATACGGTACTAATAACAAAAATACAATTTTTAAAGTTTTTGTCTGTCTGTCTGTCTGTCCGTTTGTTCCGGCCAATCTCCAAAACGGCTGGACCGATTTTGATAGGATTTTCACTGGTAGATAGCTGATGTCACAAGGAGTAACTTAGGCCACTTTTATTTTAGAAAAAGAATTAGGGTTCCGCGCTAAAAATTATAACTCCAAATAACACGCGTGCGAAGTCTCGAGGAACAGGACTAGTCTGCAATATAGATTTGCTTTGTCACACTTTCCTTGTTCATTCTTTCTACATGATCAAACCACCGAGGCATGCTTTTCTTAATTCTGGTCACAACATCATCTTGCAAACCACAATTTTCTCTTATCACACAATTTCTCACCCTGTCATTTAGACTCAGCCCTAGCATACTCCTTAAGGACCGCATTTCTACAGCATTTATTCTATTCTCTCGTGTTTCTTCTGCCAGATCCAACTTTCACTACCATACGTTAAAGTAGGGACTAACACAGCATTATGAATGCATTAACACAGCATTATGCATTTTTTGACACATTCTGACTTTCCACAATAGAGTGTAGTAGAGCGCCATTTACTCTATTCCCTGCGTTCACTCGTCGTTCTATATTCTTATTATATCGATCATCCCTGCTAAATACACATCCCAAATACACTAATTCATCCACTTGGTCAGTCAACCCCCCTTCTATTCTTATTGCACATATCGTTTTACTTTCTTCTCATTCAAAAACCATCTTCTCTCTTCAAACTTTCGTCTTACTTGCGTTCACTTTCTTTCCCCTGTTTTTTAATGACCAGTTCATTAATGTAACTATCATTTGCAACTCGGCTGCCGACGATGCAAATATGACTTGATCATCGGCGTACAAAAGGCATTTGACGGTTAACTCACCCATTCTCAACCCACATTCTTCAACTTTCAAAGTTTCCAAACAACTGTCCATAAATAGGTTAAACAGTCATGGGTAAGCTACACAGCCCTGTCCAACACCTTTTTGAATACCAAACCAGTCCGAGTAGACCCCGTTGATCCTGACACAAGCACGAGGATTAATCCCAGCCGCCAAATTTCACGAACGCACATCGCGGCAAAACTCCCGATACCATCCACACCATCTGGATGCTTGGCGGTCCACCACTGTACGTTTCACTAGGAATTTTCTTCAGCGTACGATATCTCTGTGGAATAATTTACCACCGGCGATTTTTCCGGACCGATACGACTTAGGGACCTTCAAGAAAAGAGCCTACTCCTTTTTAAGAGACCGGCAACGCATCTGCGATTCCCTTGGTGTTGCTGTTGCACATGGACGGCCGTAGTCACTTACCATCAGGTGAGCCGTAGGCTCGTTTGCACCCTCTCCTGTAAAAAAAATCTTCGATGTTATCGATCGAAAAACTTGTTTTTGTCGCTACTGGATGACGAAATACATGTAAAGATTTAATTATGCTCTTTTTGTTTCCAGTCGACCCGAGTAGGGAATCAAGAAAGAAGAATGTACTAGGTGGCGCATATATCGCACAGTCAAATTTATATAACATTCAATGACTAATACAGTCAGTACCCATCCTAATTAAATAATATAACTATTCCAAATTTAAAATGATATTTTCACAATTATTTCTTCTGCGGCAGCAACGCGCAGGGTACCAGCTAGTAGTAAATTAATATTGTGTACAACTTTCCTAGCTTCTGGTAAGAAAAAGAGAACTTCATATCTACCATCATAGTTTCATATAGAGCAGCAATACACGGGTGGCGCAGTTTTGACATCACTCTTGGCTCCCGGTGTAAATTACGACGAGCGTATTCCTCTTTTATGCAAGTAAGGTCGATTATTTTAATGGCCACCTGAAAAAATAATTAAATATAGCCAACTTCCGCTAGCAGATAATATAAAAGGCGTGATACTCGTATATAACTTTGCTAGAGAAACTAATAACAGGGGTTGAAGTTTGAAGTTGCCGTTTTAATATTTGACCAGTTTAAATTTAAATTACTATTTTATATTTAGTATGTGTTATGCTGTCATGTTGCTATACCTACTATGTTTCATGATAGTTAGTAATGTCAAAATAACAAAATGAAAGTAATACACGTTAAGTTTTAGTCCTAGTTTTAGCGTTATTTGTCCGTCTGTCTGCCTGTCTGTCTATCTGTATATCTGTTTGTTCCGGCTAATGTCCGAAATGGTTTGACCGATTTTGACGGGTCTTTCTCTGGCAGATAACTGAGGTTATTAGGTGTAACTTAAGTTACTTTTACTTTATAAAAAGAATTAGGGTTCTATGCAAAAAAAAAATTGAAGCCCATGAAATCCAATCGTAATAAATTCCACGCGGATAAAGACGCGGAGAACAGTTAGTCAATAAATAAGTACCTACCGGTAGAAGCCGATTATTATGCAACAACCAAGGAATGAAACAACCACGGCTCGATATTAGTTTACGTACAGTGTCGAATCAGTTGCTATTTGATAAAATAAAACTTGAGTAATGGGTGTCTTATTAATGAACACTGTATGCATAAGATGGTACGCGTTTAATTTTGATTTGTATCGATAAGCAGGTACAGAAATGAAAGAATTTTGGACAGAATCGTGACGTGATGGAAAGTGGATTCTATAACATAGTCGCAAGCGAAAAACGCAATAGCTGAACACAAGTCAAACACCGGAACACACACCCATAGAAAAGTAATGGTAACTGCTAGGTGGTAACTTCATGGTTGCATCCACTACAGATTTTTTATGTCGGGTGTATCAATAAAAGCAGTAATCTATTGTTAAGAACTTCGAACAATGATGGCGAAACTCTCAGAGGAACAACCCCGATTCGTCAATAAACCTCACACTGCTCGACGACGTTTTAACATTACAAGACCTACAGTTAGACACTACTACATCATTGACTTAGTTCGTCAGATCCAGCCCCAAGCGATCGCCATTTTCTCCGCAATTTGGATAATTTCCTGCAAGAAAAAAAGTTTTGTTCACAGGAAGCGGTAAAAAATGCCGTCTTCCACTATAGGCTGTCCAGATCCACAGGGATCTAATGAAGCCATAAATGATCTTCCTAGAAAATGACAGAAGTTCAGAAGTGTAGGGTATACTTACATCTCTTTAAATAAAAATCAAGTGCTATCCGTTAATCTCGCTAAAACTCAAAAATGGCTCGACCGATTTGATGAATTTTTTTGTATGTGTCATTTGGATCCGGTAGGTGACGCTGTTATCGAGATCCAGATCTCACCTGTGCGAAGCCTGGACGGATCGCTAGTACTTCAATATAAAATAATATTTTCTTAGGAAAAAGTTGTTTGACATTTTCAATATTAAACGGCAATTTCATACAAATAAATAAAATTGAAGTGTCTGTTTGTAATGTTAAAATAACAGCTTTTTACTAAATGCATATGAAAGTATATACGGTACTAATAACAAAAAAACAATTTTTAAAATTTCTATCTGTCTGTTTGTTTTGTCGTCTAATCTCCGAAACCGCTGGACCGATTTCGACGGGACTTTCAAGAATTAGGGTTCTGCGCAAAAAATTAAAACCCATGAAATCGTAGTAAATTCCACGCGGGCGAAGTGGCAAGGGACAGCTATACTTAATAAATTCCACGCGGGCGAAGTCGCGGGGTTCAGCTAGTCTTAATATATAATTAAAGCAGCCTCTTAGGTTTACTCTAAGTGCGAAACTTCATTAAATGCGATCACTATTTGAAGTGTTTTGAATTAAATCAAGTAAGTAATAATTTAAGTATTGCAACAATTATTAATAATAAACGTTTATTTCGTATCCAAAATGATATGACCAAAATATAAATGTTTATTACCTTTTTTCCTATTATTCGGTGCGTTGCCTCCTCAACTCTGGCGAAGTGTCCCTTTCCTAGAACCTTGCCAGTCATGAGGTAATTACCAACACTGTACACTTGGCCTTTCCGTGGTACGTTTGCCATTTTAATATTTTTAAATCACAAATTATTTGGAAGCATTGTGCGTTCATAAATATTTAAACGCAAGTGCGTTCATAAATCTATTTTATATTTTTACACTAATATTAGATAGATCGATGCGCTTTGTAAAAGTCATAATACATGTCACTATCGATTGTTTGTTGATTGAAATTGGAACGGTATTTGTGGCAGCTCTGACATTTTGATGCACTATTTTTAACGGCTTGTGAACATCATTGTATAGCTGGGCACATTTCTGGTAACGTTTTTAAATACTTATTATCATTCTACAATTTATTTATTTTATTTTTAAATTCTTTACACAGTTATAATTTTATTCAATGAAACTTACCTAGTTTTGAGGTTTTGAGGTAAACCTGACGAGATGTGTCATAATCTCTCGAACGCTACCCAGCCGAGTTGAATCCATGGATTGACCTCTCGGTCTAAGTTGGATTTACTTAGTCGGACTATTTGTCCCAGTTAAACATACTCGTCAACAACTTCGAGCTTAGTGCTCCCAACAACTACCGGCATAGGTGTGACATGGACGTTACACATGGCTTTTGTTTTGTGCATGTTCATCTTAAGACCTATCCGTTGGGAGACACTATTGAGGTTAATGAGTATAGTGATTAGATCCTCCAGCAACTCTGCCATAAAGATTATATCGTCGGCAACGTCAATACCGTATTATTTCCAGTCTAGTAGCTTGAAAAAGTCTTTCAATGTAGCGGTGAAGAGTTTCGGGATCTTACGTCTGTCTTACACCTCTCTGCAGTTGGATAGGTTTCGTACTCTGATTCTGTACTCGGATAGCCATCGTAGCCATGATATACCCCCATGAGCAATGACACAAAACTTACCTGCTTGTTGTGAAATCTACAAAGGTTTATTTTGCAACCGCTTTTTTGTAACAGTGAGGGCATCCACGACTTTTTTTCCCACCAGAGTTGCGCTACTCGTCACTCCAATGAGTTAAGTCAGTTGACATATTTCATAGCGGGGAAGATAATTTATTAGAAAATGTAAAGGTTAATATTTCTTTCTGTATTGTATATATAATGTATAATAAATCAAACTATGAATATAACTAAAAGTAAAAAAATAATAATAATAAAAAAGTTATAAAGTACCTACTTACTTACTTACTTACTTACTTATCTTCACGCACAATCCCTGACGGGGTAGCCAGAGAGAACAGATCGCCAAGTGTCACGATCCTTACATACCTCTTTCGCTTCTTTCAGATTCATTATCTTCTTCATACATGCACGTCTATAAAGTACCTACCAACAATTAAAGATCAAATCACTGGCGCATTGTGTTGTTGTTGTGTATTAATATACCACTCTTGAAACTGATTTCATATTATTTAAAACTAATTTCTCAATTAAGTGACATTGTGTAACAGAAAACTTTACCTCAGTCACAACTAGCGACATCTGGGGAGTGGAAGATTATTAGCCCTCATTATAATACGTGGGAGCCAACAATGGCTGGAGTCGCAAAAAATCACGCTTCTGCATATAAGCGTGATGTTTTCAATTTTTTTTTCAATTTCGCTTCAATGAAAAATTCTTGACGAAGACTTCTTTCAAGGGTTGACTTAGGGTACACGTAGGTAAAAAGAGCATTCGTTTTCATTTGGTAAACTTGTTGAAAATTACAAGTTAAAATATAAAAATTATATATAATAATAATATGGTATAAAATGAAACGAATATGGTCCACAATTTCTATGAAGCTGCACTCTCATTATTTTTATACAATCCCCAGAATGCGGTGCGTTTTCCAATTCAATCGCTTCTGCTCCAATTCAAACATAAGCTTATTTATCAACAGGGGGGACTCACCGATGCTGCGGCGCTGGATGTGCTTGCAAAGAAAAGCAGTGTCAATGCGCCCCACTTCCATCTCGCTATCGAGTCTGCAGGCCGAAAAACTCTCTCGGACCCCCCAACAAGCTTTCGGCCGACCTGGACTGCCTCCTGGCGACTCAGGCCGAATCTTCCCCCTTTCCATAATTTGCCTTATTTAAGCGCACCTCTCAGCGGCTACTCGCTGCCTGCGCCCCCTTTCCCAAAAGCGGGTTGCCTCCGATACGGCAGAAAGGTCCTCCAGGCCAAAGCCAGTCACACAGATGGTGTTTAGTGGGTAGGCACTTCATAGTGAGTCCTACATAACTACGCAGCCGGCTGCGTGGTATGCGAGCATTCACTACCTCCCTCCCCCGCTTCCCGGAGGGTAGCCCCTTGCTTTGGGCGCAAAAAAAAGCCAAGACGTCAGTTAGCCATCTTTTATTTTCTTTATATTTTTTTTAGCCATTTTTTAATTAGATATGGATATAGTTTAGCTATTTTGAACTTCATTACTTTGTATCAGAGCATTTATTTAAATAGAATTACTTAAAAATGATTTGCAGTGTACGTAACTAAACGTAGTGATTATATTCTCTTTGTACGTAACTTTAATTTCCCAATCACAGAGTATCTTTCACAGAGTACATTATATATATAGGGGTGTCTTTTTATTCCCAATATTCCTACACTCTTTGGTCCTACATATTTCATTTTTATATTTCTGAAAACTCCAGTTTTATTAATGCAAAAGAGAATTCAATTATTCAATTACATTGTATTGTAGCTCTCGGAAATAGGAATGGCGTTTAGTGAAGTTTGTAGAAGTTGTTTAAGCGTTAATGTACGCATTGGTACGCATATTTGTACTTACGAAGACTGGCCTCCAAAACCAAAATTAGTATAAAATATCCACGTACAGTTTTGTAAGTTTGTTTAAAGTAAAGTTGCAGTCTATATACGTCCCACTGCTGGGCACAAGCCTCCTCTCATTTCTGAGAGGGTTTTAGGGCAAGGAAATGTCCGCCGCGCTACCCCAATGCATGTTGGTGAACTTCATATGTTTTCGAGATATATTTTTTTATTTTATTTTTCAGACATGTAGGTTTCCTCACGATGTTTTCCTTCACCGCCGAGCACGTGGTAAATCAGCAAATAAAATTGCAATTAACAATTTCATTGGTGCCGGCGGGGATAGAACCCGGGTTGCTCGCATACTGTGAAACTGACAGCGAGCGCTAACCATCTGAGCTACCACGGCTCTTTCAAGTATGTTTAAATTTCTTAATATTGCAAATTGAAGTTGCGGTAATGTGTTGTTATCGCTGGAGAAATATATTATTACTTGCATGTAATCAAATACGATAGATCGGGGCTAGGCTAAGGTGCAGCGTTAAATATAGGGGCAAATACGAGTACAACCACAACCTGAAAAATATCATTGAAATGATATGTACTACGTATTAGAAGAGACGCCGAGACACGCGTTAGAACACTCGGGCTCAAACTTACCGAGTCTGTGCCATAAAATGGTAACCTGTGCCTCCTTCCACGCGACCCGCACTGCTGCATAGGTTTTGTTCGTAGTGTCTGTTCTAGTACATATTATTTAAATGAGTATTATTGTGATTTCCTAAAAAGAAATTAACATCCACCACGATTTTTACTTTCAGGTACTTAAAGCTGTTCTATCGGACTATTAAAGTGGAATAAGAGTGTGCATATGTGCTTACAGACACAGAAATTCCTTCACTCTCATATTTCTCATATTCCTAACATACAGAAATCACGTGCACATGTGCTTGCTTACACACACATGCAATATAATCCTGTCCTGCTCTGGTGAATAGTCTTCATTGTGAACGAAATTCTGTCATTATTTTATATGTCGTAGAGCCACGCTGCAGCTATATAATGGTTGTGTCACAGGTGGGTCGGCTTGACCGGGGTGTTACCACCGTCTCAGAATACCTGAATAAAATAGCAGCTTAATGTTGCTTTGTTTCTTATAGTACGTGTAAAGAACTGGAGACCCATTTTACTGGAGGCGAGGTGTTACCCCCTTGGTCCTCGGAGCTGACAGCATATCTGCAGTTTGATTCGTAATCGAGGATAGATGTAGATGTCTATGGGCCACAGCAAATACTTACCATCAAGTGAAATGTGTGTTTGTTTGTCATCCTCATCCTATAAAAAAACTTTAAATATAATGCACACAAAGCTTTTGTTCTGCAAAAAGAGTAATCAGAACCATGGTCCGGATAAAACAACAAGAATCATGTCGCGAACATTTCAAAAGACTTGGGATCTTGACTGTTCCATGTCTATATATACTGCTTTTACTCACGCAATTTGCCAATGTTATTGGTGAATAAGAGACTATAGACTAAAAAACTGTAAGAGGTAATACTAGGAGAAAAGACTTTCATAATAAAATCATACCTATGTTCATGACTAGACACTATCCTCAATATCGATCAGTACTACTATTTAATAGATTACCTTGACTTAAAAAGTATGTTATACAAGAGTAGCTTTTTTTAAAACTTTGTAACATGACTCTTTATACACTTGTTATTATAATGTTATGCATATTGTGACGTTTTTAAGCAAATTAATTTTTATTATAATTTCTTATTATTTGAAACTGGCAAAAGCGCGACAGCAGAAGTCCATCATTAAAAAAAAGAAAATGAAATGTCACTGATCAGCGATCACATCCCTAGGGATAAACAAGTGAAAAAAAGATATCGATATATTTATACAGTGCCGATATATATCGAGTGACAAGTATGGATATATCATCATGTTTTGCATGATACATACAAACATACATACATACATATAATCATGCCTCTTTCCCGTAGGGTAGACAGAGACCACTTCTTTCCTCTTGCTACGATCCTTACATACTTGTTTTGCTTCGTCCACTTTCATTATTCCCTTCATACATGCTCTACGGTTTAGGTTACTCTTGACCTGGCCTTTTGCATGATGTACTAGGATAAGGCCATACATTTTATTACTGACGGTTTGACGACAAAAAAATACGACAACAGTACCGAATTATTTTGTAGCTGCTTTTGTTGCTTAATGTTTTGGCAATTCATACAACATTTTAAAATATATCGAAATTGATACGAATTCAATACTCTAAAATAAATATCGATATATCACGATTTAAAATATCGACGATAAATATCGATATATTTATGAGAAAATAACGATATTTCGATATTTTTACCCATGCCTACCACGTATTTTTATTATTATTTTAAACAGAAGATAAGACAGTTATTATACTTTTTGAGATAAGAATAAGATGATATTATAATTGATAACGTGCTTTCTTTTCTATTTCTAGACAGTTATTAAACTCATAAATATCACAAAGTACATTATATATACATCGATTCTTATACATTCTTAACGCATTTAATTTTATTTCTCTGCAGCTTGATTGATCCTGCAATAGCATTTTAGGTATATCTTACCTTTTTTTGTCGCTTGATGAAATTAATGTTTCTGTTTTTGTAAAGGTCATTCATTTATAATTCTTATTACTTACTTAAATAAGTAATTGATGTACCTAATGTTTTGTGATAAAATTTATAAGTAACTACCTACTATCAATGGGTCCTAGAAAATTATTGTTAATAAAAAAAAAATATTTGGTTATAAATTAACATGAAAATGATTTTAGTTTCTCTAACTTATCAGCCTTCAGCAGTCCACTAACCTTTTCGAAGGTTTTTAATAATAACTATTATTGTTGCTTTCGTTTAACATTTTAATAAATTTACAAGTGGAGAATTTCCCTGTCTGGCAGACTTTTTAATGGAGACATCTGCAGTAGAACTGTATTAACCTACATAGCACAATACATCAGTAAGCCAAAATGGCAATGAACCACTTAAACAATGAACAACCAATGGGGAAGAAAGGATGTTTTGAGAAGAGATGCAGGAAGTTAAAGGATGCAGGTGGCTATGGACCGTGCTTTGTGGCATTCCTTAGGGGAATGTTCTGGGAGGACTATGTTCTGACTTGTGATGGGCTGTAATCATGATATAAATTTATAACATTTATATAAATTTATATTATCTGTCTCTATTACAGGAATTTTAGTATGTCAGGTGACTTGAAATTCGACCAAATAATGGTAGACACTAGCGAGGCATTGGTAAGAGAAAAAGTTTTCTATTTACTTTTGGTAGTTTGAAAACAGTTGCTTTTTACTTTGTTGTATGTAATGAATATAATTTTATGATGTCCATATTTTAACATATCATATTTATATGATTTTAGGTCCTTAAAAATCATGTTTGTGTTTGCATGCTTCTATACCATCACATTTTTTGATAACAAATGATGATGTCAAATCTGGTAGACTTAACAGTGGTAGTCACACTTACAGAATGGGTCATCTCAACCAGGATAGAGCCACACTCTTACAGAATACAATTGTAAAGAACTAGTGGCCCTTCATGAGGCACTTCATCTCAGTCCTCAGGGGTGACAGTGTATAAATTTGCATTTTCATACTTAAATGAAGATAAATGTAGATGTCTATGGGCCACAGCATCCACTTACCATGAGGTGGACTGTGTGCTCATTTGTCACTCTTATTCTATAAAATTAAATTAAAGAAAAGCAATTATTAGACACAACAATAAACACTTTTTAAAGTTTCAAAAAAAATGTTCTTGAGTGACGGCCTTGTACTGGCAGACAAAGTGTAGAGCGTCCCCCTACTAGATGGATTGACGACCTGGTAAGATATGCAGGAAGTTGATGGATGTAGGTGGCTCAGGACCATGCTTTGTGGCATTCCTTGGGGAACGGCTATGTTCAGGAGTGGACTTGTGAAGGGCTATAATGATGATGATGATGAAAGTTTCCAATAAATTAAATTCAGCAGTTCAGAGTTGGAAGTTGATTGTGTACCATGCCAGTTAATATCACGCCTACACCCAGATTAATCATTTTGTATAGCTAAGGCTGGGTCACTGCAATATTTAAGTGTGTAATAGTGTCTCCATTTTGAAGACAAGTAAATCAATTTAAATGTGGTAGAGCCATGCTGCAGCTATATTAATTGTATAGTTGTGACACGAATGGGTTGGTTCGACCGGGGAAGGACCACACTCACAGGATACTACTACTGGAAAAGATGCATTCCATCTTAGTCCTCACTGCTGATAATGCATATGCATTTTGATTTGCAAATGAAGACAGATGTAGATGTCTATGGGCCACCACCACCTACCATCAGGTGGACTGTGTGCTTGCTTGTCACCCTTTTCATAAAAAAAATAACTAAATGACTTCATATTTGATAAGTAAATCAAGAACTAAATTTGCAATTGATATTTTCAGCCATGCTTAGTTCTTTTGTTTATTTGAGTTTACTAGCATTTAGTCCCAGTCCTCACGGGTGACGACGCATTTGCACTTTGATTCCTAATCAAGGATAGATGTCTATGGGCCACAACATCTACTTACCGTGGTGGTACTGTGTGCTTGTTTCTCACCCTTATTCTATAGAAAAAAAAAATACAGTAAAAGTATTACAAAGCAAGCTCAATGTGAGGAATAGTCAGACTTGTCAAATTTTTTTACTTTTAAACATACAGATTTCTTCATTATCTTTTCCTTCACAGCAAGCACATGAAAATGTGACATTAGTCATTATGACACACCTGTGCTTGCGCAACACTCTAGGCACAATAATCCTGTCCTGCGCAAAGTGCAAGTTCCCATGCTGCTTTGATTGCAATTAATTTTGGTGAACATTATTCATTATAATTTTTCTTTATTATTTTTAACTGTGGTAGAGTCACGCTGCAGCTTCTGCTGTAGCATGTATGGGCCGGCTCGGTCAAGCTACTCTCTTTTTCTTGAGCGTGGGTGCTTAGGCTGTCCCGCGTATTCTGGGAGCGGGGGGGGGGGGGGGGGTTCAAAATCCTGCTCTATACTAACACTAAACGGGGCAAACAGCAATAAAACCATGGCGGTGCATGCCACGCTATCTGTGGACTTCTATCAGGGGACTTCACCCATCTAGAGACGGCGAAGCTGACCTTGTTATTTTTGCCTGAGACGCAGGTGTGTCCTCCATCTGATACTTTGTACCTGTCCTACCCGGAGTACAAATTAGAACACCTCTTTGTGCCCTGGGCTACATACATCAGACAGGATATCTTTTTTCGACGCCTCGGCAGTCTTGAAGGTATGCACCTGGCCATCCTTTGGCTGCGCGTAGATAGCGACGACCATCCCCGCGTCTACGGGAGTCTGTATAGGTCTCATAGCGGTAATGCCCACACAGACCGACTCATCCACCACGTCCAAATGGCTACAGATTTCTTGCTACAACAGATCCCATCTGTAGAGATCGTGATACTTGATAATTACTCCACCACTATGGGATTTAGAAGATGTTTTCTTCCTCGCACAACTTCTTTGTGGAATCGATTACCGCCAGCCATTTTTTCGGACCGATACGACTTAGGGACGTTCAAGAAAAGAGTCTACTCCTTTTTAAAAGGCCGGCAACACATCTGCAATTCCCCTGGTGTTGCAGTTGTTCATGGGCGGCGGTACTCACTTACCATCAGGTGAGCCGCATGCTCGTTTGCCCCCTCTCCTATTAAAAAAATATACTTATAAAGAATTAAACTTGATTCACATGGTAGAATATTTTTATATCTTAAATTCTAATTTTTTAATTAACAATGTAAATTCACATATTTTTATTTGCAGGAATATGTAACAAAAAACAAACGGATATTCCACTCAATTGGCTATCAAGACATGGATATGTTTCATGCAAGATCTGCGCAAGATGTTTTTAATAATAATATTATTTATGCTGATTATGACCGACCTTTAGCTACTTCGAGCATAGAGGACCATCATAACAAGCTTACTGAAGACCATCTTGCTGCTTTATCTAACAAGTTACAAAACTTGGCAACAAATATTTTTGAAAGGAAAATGCTATTTGCACAGATTGAATATGAGATAAGAAAAATAAGTGTTGAGGAAACCATTAACCATGACATCAAGCTGATTGTTTCGAATTTATTGTATGTCAGCTCATCACCCAAAAGAAAATATTATAAAAGTAAGTCATCATATATTTTAGTTCTCATCAAAATGAAAAAATTATATTTTTAATAAAAATATATAAAAATTAATGTTTGTTTGTTCGTATTTTATGTGCTGCCATACCGTTCATCAGATTGCGGTAAAATTTAGTCAACATATTGCTTGCACTTGCGCAAAGGTTATAGGCATAGTAGAATTAACTTACACTAGGTGGCGCGCCTGTCGTACCGGTAAATTTATCTGAAAGTTATATATCACTCATTTGATTGTATTATCTATCATTCCAAATTAAACAATATAATTAAATCTTCCAAATTTAAAACCACATTTTCACAATTATTTCTTCTGCGGCAGTAACACCAGCTAGTAAAAATAAAATTGACTTCTAAACCTAAAAATAATAAGAATATAATTTTAACTTATACTAGCTTCTATTACCGTCTATCAAAAGTGCACTGCTGTACATAACAGGCTTTCTTTTAGATTGCCTCGCAGAGATATTTGACATTGCTGCCACACTTAACAAACAGGTTGACTACTGTAGTGTTTTATTCTTTGGAGTTGTTATTAGAAAAATGCAGCCGGCTATGTACTGCGTCGTTTTCCTTTGTCGTAGAAATGTGTCAATCGTGAATGACTTGTTCATTTGACCTGGATCTCTTGAAAGTATTGACGATTGCAATTACATTTTTTGAATGTTCCGTATGACAGGACTTACGACCAAAGAGTTATAGCAATATCCGACGACCGACATTAGCCGAGCGGGTCTCACAGATCACAGAGTACTGAAACTGGAAATGAGCCGTTTGAATGATCGACCCGAATGACCCGGTTTGTAAGACAAATGAATACTTAAATAATTGGGTCACTAGAAATGAATGAATGACACATGTCTACTTTGTCGCCTCTTATGACCCCCACACGATGATATGGGTGTGGTATATTTTCTTATTTCCTTAGTAGTTTACTCGGAAGTAGTAGCCTTTGTATTAAGGTGTCTAGAGACCGCTGTAGCCTTCTAGCTGTAGCTGTCCCTTCACTTTAAAAACATGTTATCGTTATTGTATGTTACATTGCTGTTCCAATTTTATGTTTCACGTAATGAGTTGCGATAAAAAAAAACTCGTGAAAAATGACACTCAATGGAATTTTGATGAGACTGCTTTATTTAACACAGATTATGTCACTTTGTATAGGTAAATTTTTATCTGTGTTGATTTTGATTATTACTAAAATATCCAGAAATAAAAATGTATGTATGTTTTTCTGGCGATTCGTTAGCGAGTTTGAGGCCAGCTTTGAAATAATATATCAATTTGAAAATAATTATGTACACAGGGAGCCTGTTTCTTAGTAAAACTTCTTGCTAAATGATATTTTATTAATTAGTCGGGAGTTAAAACTTAGTTAAAATTTAACGAGATAAAATATGTAAAATTAGTTTTGTTCAGTTTCTTGCTCATATATAAATAAACTACATTTTTTTTCAATCTGGTCTAATAAATGACGTTGTATATGTGGTGGAGTCACGCTGTAGCTATATTATGGTTATAACACGAATGAATCGGCTCGTCCAGAGAGGGACCTCGCTTTGCACAGAAAGCCATTGTAAATAGCAGCTTAAGTCTGTTGTGTTGTGAACCGGAGACCCTTTATACTGGAAATGAGGCATTCCATCTTAGTATTATCATCTTATTCCATCTAGTTATCCGAGATGACAATGCATCTTGTATTTTGATTACTAACCAAGGATAGATGTGTATGCCTATCGGCCACAGTTTACATTCACCATCAGGTGGACTATGTTCGTTATCACCCTTATTCTAAAAAAAAATATTAATTAATCCTAAAATGTCTATTACAGGCAAAGTTCTAGTGATGAATGAGAAATCTCCACTGGCAACACTGGGCTTCGTAGCGCAATTGCTGTGCGCACACGAAAACGTTATTATAGAGGCGACCGTGGAGACTGCTGTTTTGTGCCATTTATTTACAGAAATGTGCCACCAAGTCGGGTATGTAGTCAATATTTATTCACATATTATATGTGGTAGAGCCATGCTGCAGTTATATTATGGTTGTAACACGAATGCGTCGGGTCGACCAGGATAGTACCACACTCTTACAGAATGCTAGTGTGAAATAGCAGCTTAATGTTGCTGTGCTTCGCATGGTGAGTGTGGAGAACCAGAGACGCGTTTTACTAGAAACGAGGCATTCCATATTAGTCCTCAGGGTTTATTGGCCACAGCATCCACTTACCATCAAGTGGACTGTGTGCTCGTTTGTCACCCTTATTCTAAAAAAAAAAACATTTTTTGTCTACCGGCTACAGTAGCCACTTACCTAGGTGGACTGTATTTGTCTCCTCTATGTTATTTCTCTTTTTTTTATTTATAAGGAAACTCAACGGCATCTTTACAGTAATCGTTTTTATAAAACAAGCTCAATGGTTAAAACAGTAATTTGATAAAACCCATACCACACACATACACACACACACACACACACACACACAAGTTATCAATGCATTGTTTAAATTGTGAAATTTGCTCATTAGCTTCAGTTAACTGTAATTTCAATGCAGCAATTAATCTGAGGGCTCATATTCTTTGCTGCATCATTTGAACTCATCGACTATCCCCTGGAGCCCCTTTCGTTTAAAATATCTGTGTAGTCTTTACGTAACTTTACCATATCACTTTTCAACTGTGTATTTTTCAAAATTATACTTATTATTTCCTTTTCATTGTCATCTCTTTCTTTAAGTAACAGCTCACTCTGCTCCCTGGAGCCGCCTGACGCCGTGAGTTCTTGGAAAATCTATTGATGTATTGACTTGCCTATTACAGATTAAACAACATATATTTGGCATTTGTGGCGAAGTGCTTGCCGGGGGCCAACGACGTTACAGAAATTAAAGGTACAATAACTATAATTGCTGCCCCATAGATTACAATAGCATTTTGAAACAAACTTAAAGGAAATAGGTAGTTTTTTTACGTGGTAGATCCATACTGGAGCATTATTAGTGGTATGGTTGTAGTATGAATGGGTCAGCTCGACCGGAGAAGGACCACGCTCTCACAGTATACCAGCGTAAAAAAGCAGCTGAACACCGCTGTGTTTCGTATGATGAGTGTAGAGAACCGGAGACCTTCCTCACTGGTGACAACGCATCTGCATTTTGATTCGTAATCGAGGATAGATGTAGATGTCTATGGGCCACAGCAACCACTTACCATCAGATGTACTGTGTGCTCGTTTGTCACCCTTATCCTACTAAAAATAAAGTTATTTCCTTTAAGTTTGTTTCAAAATGCTAGTAACACTATAATTGTCATCATCATCATCATTACAGCCCCTCACAAGTCCACTGTAGAACATAGGCCTCCCCCAAGGAACGCCACAAAGTACGGCCCTGAGCCACCATACTCATATTTACAATGCAATTGCATTGCATTGTAAATATGAGTATAGAGAACTAGTATAATAACTAAAGAGTAAATGAAACAGGCTGTGAGGCATTCCACCTTAGTCCTCTGAGGTAACAACGCAACTGTAGTCTTCTTTGTTATAAGTTGGCTGCACGTGTTCACGGACTGCAGTAGACACTTACCATTTCTCACCATTAGATGGAATGTAAGTTTGTCACTTCAGTTTTATTTAAAAAAAAACATCGTCTGTGTTGCGTGGAGGGAGTTGGGATTAGTGAAACGACACGCTTGCTTAGTACGGACTGATTTATTCTCTCACTTGTCGGTGGTCGTAGCAACCAACGCCTATGCGCAATCCAACTCCACATACACATTTATTATCAGTCTGTCATCACATCAGTCGTCTGAGTGTAGCGGGAAAGCGTTTTCCAATTTGCAGTACAATAATGTCATTTAAGAATCGCGGTGTAAGAATATCTCTATAAAGGCGATATTACACGGATCAACCAAATTGAAGTAATTTCATTGAAAAGCATCGAACATTGCACATTGAACAGCTTTACCAATATACACGTATATCATTTAAATGGCATTCAATATTCACAGCTTAATGAGATGTCGCGCCCACTCGTACTTGCGAAAATTTCTTTAAACTGAATGACAAATTCTTATTTCGACCATTTGCGAATGACCGAAAGTCAATATAATGAACTTCTTAAAACCCATTTTAACGCCACTTGTAAACCATTTTTGAAAATCCATGTGCGCACGCTAAATAAGTGTCGTGCGGTGCGTGGGATGAGTCATCGATCAATCTTCATATACACGTTTTAACCGTATTGAACAATGCCCAAAATTGTTACCACCATTGAAAGCGTTCGGTGAATCGAAGCTTTCAATGAGGTTGCGCAATCGCATTGAAATGTATTTTTTTAATACAGTTGCTCAAAAAGTGGTGTATTGCAGGAACGTATAGCGTTCGGGATGTGGGCTATTACATACTCGAGCTTTTTCTTTACCTTTTCCGAACTCGTGCGTTCTCTTTCCCAACTGTCAAAATAATGTCTATGAAAAAGAAAAAACCAACCACGTAGTATTTACTAAAAAAAAATCATAGAAGTTTTTATGATTCATGCAAATATTTCCAAAAAGAAGCTACTAATTTGTTTCAATATCAGATTTAATGATTTGTTTCAATGAGTTAGGTTAGGTTTCATTTCATTTCATCTCATTAAATTTCATTTTCATTTTATATCAATAAAAAATTCTACCGAAGACTTGGCTGTATGGGCATAGTTCCCTTTGCCTACCCATAATGGGCAAACAAAACAAAAAAAAACTCTGCTTATATTCTTTTACGGTTGGCGCCATTTTCCGAAAGTGTTCTTTATTAAATTGCTTAATTTTTTCGCAACTGTACTAAAAATAGTTGTTCAGTACACGTGCGGAACCGTCATTGCAACTTGTTCCGACTGTCAAGCCTCACCTTCGGCTGCGCCTCAGCTCGGGTAGACATTTGTCGGAACTCTTTGCAATGACATGCTTTCCGCACTTGTAATGAATTATACTATAGATGTCTTAATGCTGCTGAAGCAATGAAATTGAAAGCAATATTGAAACAAAATTGATCCGTGTAATATTGCCTTTATCCCATATCGTCCTGTGTGTGTCGTAAGAGGGGATTGGAGACGACAGAGGAAACATGAAACAGGAAGTTCGTTTCCAGTAGTTCAAGCACTCAAAATAATAAAAAACTGCGGTTGCCAATCCGCTTTCCAAGCGTGGAAACTGTTGCAAAATTCCCCCTAAGAGTCAGTCTATGAGGGAGGTCTATGTTCAGCAGTAGACTTTTATAGGATGTAATGGATGGATGGAATGTCATTTAGGTGGGAATCGTGGTGGACCTCATTTCGACACTTTACGTTTGGACAATAGACAAATCTTAAATCCGGCGTAGAACTATAAATTTTTCTTTGTGTAATTGGCTACCATCGGCGATTTCTCTGGCGATTATCCCGGACTGATACGGCTTAAGAGACTTTCAAGAAACGAGCTTACTTTTTTTTAAAGGCCGGCAACGCACCTGCAATGCCCCTGGTGTTGCAGTTATTCATGAGTGCCGGTAGTCATTTACCATCAGGTGAGTTGCATGCTCGTGTGCCCCCTCTTCTATAACAAAAACATAATATAGCTTACACGTAACTACAATAACGATTTCTGCATTACGTGCTAGGAGTGTGGATTGTACTGCGGTGTCGGAAATCGGTAGCTAAGAGCTAGTAGTACACATGGGCGCAAGGCGCTGCGTTCGGCGCTGTGCGCTTGATAGAGTACATACACCGTGCTCAGCATGGCATTCGACGAGCTTTTTCAGGGCGAATCCCTAATAGCTGGTTGCTTTTTGACATTTTGATACGGATTTCTGATAAAGAATCAAAACATTCAAAAATCAAAATCAATATGATCTCCAATTTTTGTCAACGTACGTCCACTCTACACGAAAGTGCGCGATCAAATGTACAAGAAAATGGCGGCCCTTTTATCTAAAGGCGCGCGGCCAACGCTCGCGCATCGAACGTTCTAACCAGAATCTTACAGCTCGAATAGAAGTACGTGTTGGCATGTTTGTGTATCGGACTATATAGATGGTTTTTAAAACGCACGTTACCAAAGCGAGCGCTTCAAAACGCCTAATGTGTACTCGCTCCAAGGGCTGATTTACAGTTAAGGGGCTACTCCATGCGAACGACCTTGAGCATTTGACCGCTTGCTACAATATTAATATATTGTAGCGAGCGCCTCGCCGGAAGAAATATGAAGGACGCCACCTATTGTACGAAAGTAGTATTATTTTTTCAACATCAATAAACTATTTTATGGAAATACACATAGCGTACAAAGATAAATGTATTATAATTTTTTTATTCTGTATATATTAGTTGCATTATATTAGAATTATGTATTTTCATATATTATCTAATTATGAAATTTTATAATTAATTATATATTAAAACTGAAGCATTGAAAATTGTGAGTTTAAAAGATACCTATTCACTATAGGTAAATAAATAGATAGCTCGGCTTTTGTACAAATATTTGGTGCAATAAAAAAAAAAAAAATAAATAGGATGTTTCGCATATGTGTTTTTGATTATTGTTAATTTTTACGTGTCACGTATTGAAAAGTTACCTACTAATTTTTGAACTTATGCTGGCAGATATTATCCTCACCCCAATGATTGATGAGGATGAAAATCAATTTTATTTCTACATACGTAATTATATTTATTTATACATAAGGGTAACTTTAATAAAGGTAATACAAAAATCAACAAGAAGGGTTCAATCTTTCAATTTCAGTTGTAAAAAAACGTTACCCCCACACTAGGATTTTCTCCTGTGTCGTGGAGGCAGTTTACAAACATAAATTGCACAAAGACAAACATCCAGACCCGGAACAATTATTTGTAGGCCATACAAATACTTGTTCCATGCGGGATTCGAACCCGCGGCCCCCAGCGCAACAACTGATTGCTAAGCCACTGCGCCACCATGAAGCTAATACAAAGACTAACTTTGTATTTTTGCTTCATGGTCGCCGGGTTATAGCTAAAGTGACCATACGTCCCGTTTTGAACGGGACTGTCCCTTTTCTTGGTCTCCTGTCCCATTGTCCCCAAACAAAGCTCCGGGACACAAAATTGTCATGTAACTAGTTGGATGGAAGTATTCAAAGTCAACAATCTTCAACATAATTTTTTTTAATCGAATATATTTTATGTCTACCTGGTACGAATGCTCCGGTAGAAAGAGTATTTTTTATTTTGCATAAATTGTGGACGTCTGAAAGAAACACTTACGGTTCCAGAGTTCTAAAGGCGATGTTGTTAACAAAGATAACAATAAAAAACTTGAGCAGAATTTTATTCTTATTTAAAATCATCACCAACTTTATTAAAGCAAATTTAATCCACTGACAAATGTAATTAATAATTAAAAAAAAATATGTTGCATTTAATAATTACCGTCTATACCGAATATAATTTTATAGTGAACACTAATTGTATAAAGTTATAGTTTTTAGAGTATAAATAAACCCATGTCCTGTTATGAGTTAAAAAATAAATGGTCAGTTTAGTCTTTTTAGTTAAATTTAGTTTTAAAAATTTTTAGTTTATAGTAAAAAGTAGGTATATTAGTACTTTTTACCGAATTATAAGTATAGAACACCTTATGTACTCAATTATTTTTTGAAAAAGAAGAAAAAACAAGCAATAAATAATATACTATATTTTAGCAAAAAACTATAACTTAGTAATACTAATTATAACTTAGAACATAAATGAAAAACTCATAACTGACTTTTTGGCCCGACCCAGGATTCGAACCCGGGACCTCATGATCAGCAGTCGCACTACTACAACCACTAGACCAACGAGGCAGTACTATACCTGATAAGATATTGTGGTTGGGTGATAATATTGAATTAGCCTTTTATAGTGTAAATTATAATATTTGTCGAAATTTTAATTATAGATTCGAACCTTACATGCTAATGGTGCTTCATTTTTTTATTTGCATTTACTTCAAAGAAAATACACGCAAAAAGCTTCATCGCGCAGTAAAAAACACAACAAATATATGTATAACCAATACGAAAAATTATACCCAAAACAAACAAATAATACTACCTATAAATAACCTAATAAGTAATAATATTATCGACTCATATGACGTGGCGTATGCGTTGGTCGACGCTCTAACAACACGGGCTTCGCGTCGAAGAGCTCAGCGCTCACTGACTTCAACAAGCCCGTGAGCAGTAAATATGCCCAGATTTTAAAATAATTTCTTAATAAAATCAAATTTTGGTCTTTTGAAAAAAAATTTACTATAGAAATGTTCATTAATAAATTGCCTATCCATTGGTGTAAATCGCAAAATAAAATAATACTTACTTTACGAGGAGATGCATGTTATCAATAATAATTTCACATTTATGTGGTTTCATTGTAAGGAGATTATTTTAATATTTATTCCTTTAAAAAAAAATTGGATATAGCTTTTATGGAATCAAGATTATGTAGAAATATAATGTGTTTTTTATTTGTTGATATATCTTTTAAATAAAAAGTAGATAGCTTCTAAAAACCGCCCAAATAACGACTAGCGCGACATTTTGCTCAACCTGCGCCTTAAGCCAAAATTGTGTGACATACGGAGAGCAAAACAGTTTGTGCTTGTACGACGTTCAAAACAACCAGTGACATTTTTTAAAATTTTTAATATATAGGTATTTGAAGAAGTTTTAATTGTTTGAGTTTTTTTTTATGTGTTCATAATAAAATTAAACAGATCTGTTTTGTTTGTATTGTATAAAAATAACAGCATTGACTATAAGTTGACGTGTTTGACTTGACTATTAACTTGAAGACCTATCGCCTAAATCTGTGAAATCGAAAATTGATTATTTTAAAATAATTTTAAAATTTTGAATATATAACTAAAACCTACGAATATGAGAGGAACTTTTTCCAATCTGTGCAAAATACAAGTCGCCGAACCAGAGTGTTTATTTTCTATATCTCACGCTTGTTAAAATCTGTAACGGAAGCGGATATTAAGGAATATATTCACGACTTGAGACAGAAATGTCTCAGTGTTGAACTCTTTAAAAATCAATATACAAGCGAGTAACATATATATATATTTAGATGAAAATTTTTGGCCTAAAGGCTTAGTTAATGTTGGTACAACATTACATAGAACGACAGACTCGCGTAACTTTAAAATAACAATTTCTTTATAATTAGATTTTCATTTTGTTTTTAACTTTTAGTGATAATTGAAATAGGTGAAAAAGTTTGAAATAAATGACTATTGTTATTGTATTGTTGTTAATAATCTTGAATTTTTGAAATATGCCTATAAATATAATTAGGTACTAAACTTGTGTATGCCGTGTGTCGGTATGTAAGAGAGTCAACTACTCCATAGCATCTTGTGGGTTATCTGAAACAGAAAATGGCCAGCACACATCTTATGCTGCCACTAACGGTAATATTTTTTTAATTAATTTTATTATTCATTTCTTTTTAGAACTACAATCGTGCTGCATGGGCGTGGTGACAGAACGCAGCGATATAGACTCGGCGGTTGATGTCTTCCTTACTTCCAGCGTGAAGGTGAGTGTCTGATGTTCGAAACCTAGTTAATGCAGTAAAATACGGTCGAATAAACATATTTACTCCACCTCCACCAGCAGTGGTAGATAATAAGTAATCTATATACACGGTTATTTTTCAAAGAGTAGCCAAATTTCAAACTTAAGGTTCGAACTTATACCTAGTCAGGTCATAAATTCTGTCACATGTTTAATATAAAATAATTGAAATAAGTTTATTCATTATGTAACCATTTATATACCAAAATAAACTTAACAAAACATAGATTCTTATGACACTAAAGTTTATTCAAAATGACCTCCGTGATTTTGAATACAGGCTTTCAATCTGCGCGGCCAGTCGTGTATAGCAGCACGAACGAGGTCCATATTAATATCGGCGGCTCCCTTAATCAAGGATGTCTTGAGTGACTCCAAATTGGGATGAGGCTTTGAGCACGCCTTTTCCTCCAAGTGTTGCCATATCTTGTAATCTAACGGATTCAAATCTGGACTGGAGGAGGGCCAGTCTTCGTGCCGGGTGAAGTCGATTTCACGCGCCGCCAGCCAGTCTTGTGTGCTCTTCGCTCTATGAGCTGGCGCCGAATCTTGTTGGAATACCCAGTGCCTGTTATTGAACATGGTATGAGAAACAGGTTCCACAAGGTTTGTCAGGACTGTATTTTGATACACAAATGCATTCGTTTTTACACCTTTCTCACAAAAATGTACCTCTGTTAAGCCTCAATAAGAAACTCCCAACCATACCATGAGCGAGGATGGAAAATGACCTCGTTGGAAACGCGGAATACGGTTGCTCGCTTCTTCACTACTGTGTGCGTACACCTTATCATTTTGTTTGTTGTAGCTCTCTTCTACGGTAAAATTTTTTTTATCCGAAAAAAGAATTTCCCGATATTTTTTCCCGCGTACCGCTTCAACAAAGCGCGGCATCTCTTCAGTCTCAGGTCCATTAGACGAGCATTCAAACGATGTCCTGTTTTTCTTCGATATGCCCGAAGCCCTAAGTCTTCATTTAACACCCTTTTCACCGTGGTTCTGCTTAACCCCATCTGAAGGGCCAACAGTTTCTGCTTACGTTTGGGATTTCTTTGAATTCGCGCCTTCACAGCTTTTATCACTGCTGGAGTCCTAACAGACCGAGGGCGACCACTTCTTGACCTGTCATCTACACTAGAGTCTTCATTGTATCGTTTGATGGTACGATAAACGAATCTTTTGGTTATATTCAAATTTTTCAGTATGTCAAACATTTGAATTGGCGTGTAACCGCAACGATGCAACGCAATAACTGCAACACGGACTTCTTTAAGCGTCCACTCCATATTTAAAAAATGAATAAAATTCTAAAAAGTATACAGTTTTATTTTCATGAACAATTCGAAATTCGAATTCAATAAACTTTTTTGTAGCCAGCATTCTAAAAGAAAAGTTTTTACTGTGTGACAATACTTATGACCTGACTAGGTATATAAATAATGATATACCGTTATTAAAATTTTTGAAAGTACGTGTAAATAAGGCTTCTATTTTTACGTACGTTATCAGGATCAGTATTCAAACCTATAGAAATAACTTTTTTTTTAAAACTCGACCATATATATTTTTTAATTTTATGTAGTTTTATTACCTCTTACTGACACTAACCGATGCTAAAACTAAGTAAAGCGGAGTCTTTGACAATACTTTTACTCCCCAGACAATGCAGAGGTAATAAAACCACATACAATTTGCGTACAATTTGCATACAATTATTTTTTTAAATAAAATAAAAAAAATTATGTTCGAGTTTTTAAAAAAAGTTATTTCTATACGTTTTTTTTTATAGGATAAGGGTGATAAACGGGCACACAGTCCACCTGATGGTAAGTGGTTGCTGTGGCCCATAGACATCTACATCTATCTTCGATTAAGAATCAAAATGCAGATACGTTGTCACCCGTGAGGACTAAGATGGAATGCCTCGTTTCCAGTAAAATGGGTCTCCGGTTCTCTACACTCACCATACAAAACACAGCAGCATTAAGCTGCTATTTTACGCTGGTATTCTGTGAGAGCGTGGTCCTTCCCCGGTCGAGCCGACTCATTCGTGCTACAACCATAATATAGCTGCAGCATGGCTCTACCAAGTATAAATTTGAATAATGATCCTGATAACGTACTTAACGGGAACCACAGGGTTTTTCTTATATGTTGTATAAGCGAAATACCAGTGACACTACCACAGGTGTATAGCTTTAGGGATATGACGATATCCCTAAAAGTATACACCCGATTGACTTTAATTTTATATAAGAACGGATTTTACGATAGTCACATAAAAATTTATTGATGTTTTATATCTACGTTATTATCGTGCGCCTACTGATGCTAGTGAGCCTAGTGAGCAGGTATCACCTAGTGATTATATTTTTTTTTATGGAATAAGGTGACAAACGAGCACATAGTCCACTTGGTGGTAAGTGGATGCTGTGGACCATAGAAATCAACATTTATCATCGATTAAGAATCACAGATGCGTTGCAACCTCTGAGGACTAAGATGGAATGCCTCGTATCCAGTTAAAAGGATCTCTGGTTCTTTACATTCATATCATACGAAACACAGCAGCATTGATCTGCTTTTTATGCTGGTATTCTGTGAGAGCGTAGTGGTTCCCCGGTTGAGCCGACCCATTCGTTCTAAGACTATAATATAGTTGCAGCATGGCTCTACCACGTACTTTAACACTTCGTTTCATATTAATGTTAATACTTTTTATGTTTCAGTTCCCCTGGAAAATCAGTCGGATCTTAGTACAGGAGGCTGTCAGCGACCGTTTTAAAAACACGCTCGCTTGGAAAGCCAAACTCAATCCTTCGAACGTAAATTCAGATGAACTGAAATCGAAATGTTCGAGTTTTTATGGTATCGGCAACAAAACATTCCTATCTGAATTTTACGGCGATGGACCAACAGGCGACTACGTGATGATTGAGGAATACAGAACTGTCAAAGAGCTATTGTCTCTTTCCAAGAAATATAAACCGTTCTCTGTCTCGCTTTGGTGCAGTGATGTCTCGGAGTCCAACGAAATAGCTTACGGAATCGATTCTACAATCGTATGGATCAACAGTTACGGATCGTTCGGAGGACCGCCTAAATCATCGCAAGCGTTCTATTCTATTATTGATATCGCGTTTTCTAAAATAGGCGTCAGTAAGTCGTTTGACCTTGAGAAACTTTTAGCTGACAGAGATAAATGGATTAAGCTCAGTGCTCATAAAAAGCTTGAGATTTTAAATGTTGCTTTTGAAACGGCGAGGAAAAGCACAGTTTTGTCAGGTAATATTGCGATCGATTCTATCGATCGAGACGAGAATTTCGCACGAGTTGAAAATGGTGAAGTTTGCATCGGTTTAGAGATCCCGGTAGGTTTAGTGTTGTTCCACGATAAAAGTTATCGCATAAACGATATTTTGCCTACTATTTTGAAAGGTAATGCAGTGCTTTATTGTTGGAGCGATTTAATGAACTCTGACATGTACAGTTTGATGCGGAAAGAAGGAGTGCCTTTAAACTTAGTCACTGGAGACAAAGGGGATTTTCAAGTCCCTTCCCAATATTCAATGTACAAAATAAAAGTAGTACGTACTAACTTCGGTACTATTTTTGCTAATTAGGTAACATTGTTACGGAACAATTAAGTTTTGATATGATTAATTAATACTTAATTTTTCCGGTACTCAATAAAGCACTTACTTTATTGAGTGCTGAGTGATAAGACTCACTTGTCGGATGTCGAACGTTGCATTTGACGACTTTTTTATACTAGCGTCCCGTCACGGGTTCACCTGGGTAGGATCTATTAATACAGCGTTATTTATATTTAAGATAATCATCAAAGACCATTAATTATGCAAATTTTTTGATTCCTCAAATAATATATAGCCTCGGTCACTCTTGGCATTGCTCTCTATCTGGTCGTCAAGTTTTTTTTTTATGTGTGTTACCTCATAACTTTTTACTGGGTGAACCGATTTCAATGATTCTTTTTTGTTTGAAAGCTGGTGCTTCACATGTGGTTCCATATAAATTTGATCAAAATCTGAGCAATAGTTTTTGAGTTATTGTTAATAATTTATATTGAAGTCAGTTGTACAAAATTTTTAATTTTTAATTATTTACATGCAAAGCGGTGCAAAGTTTTAGATATTAGTGCCTTAATCCATCCATTGCGGCTTATAAAAGTCCATTACTGAACATAAGCCTCCATAAGTAATAATTTTTGCAGAGATAAATCCTGGGATAATTTTCGCCGATTGCAAATATAGGATAATGTAAATAAAAGTCAACTTTGCTAGATCAATGATTTTGTAGCATGTTAATTTTATTTTACTGTAACGTATTTTTGTAAAATTATGTACATGAATATAAATAAGACAATGATTTATATCAGAAATATTTATTAAGTTTTAAGCAAAACACTTTGGAAAAGCAGTACTTTACCATTTTTTAAAATTTTATTTTAATAATTATTATATATTTTCCTCCTCGCTAAAATCAATATTCATATCACTTGAATTACCGTCTTCGCTATCAGTGCAACTGGACGAGTCAGAATTATCTTGTAAATTAATTATCATTTCGTCCATAGCGTCGTCGAGTATTCGATCGTGTTGACAGTACTCATCTTCAATTTTCTGGACATGTGTGTCACATGCTACCCATTTTTCTACTGGAAATTCACTAAATAATTTCTCTAGTGCAGTTTTCTTCTTATCTAAATTACTGTCAAGTTCGTTTCTCGAAAGTTGTCCCTTGATATCCCCCCAAACCAGCTCTATGGGGTTCAAGTCTGGGTGATACGGCGGAAGTCTTAATACTTCGTGACCTGCAGCTTTTAGCACTTCATCAATCTTGTACACATTTTCAGATCCATGTTGTTTGATCGACTTGAGCAGGTCACATTTTCTCAAGGAACTGTCAAATTCCACATTATGTCTTTGCAACCAAGCCTGCATCGAAGCTTTTGTATTTGTCATCGTTGGTTTTTTGTCTTCCTGGACTAAATGATACGCGGCGTTATCCTTAACAATTACAGATCTTGGAGGTAAATTTGGCAATAATTTTTCTTTTGTCCATTTATTGAAATTTACAAAATTCATATCCGAATGATAATCCCCGGTTTTAGTTTTTGATTTAAAAATTAAAAGAGCTCCGTCAACAAATCCAGCCTGGCCTCCTGCATGTACAATAATTAATCTCGGCCCTTTGCCAATATGAGCCAGCACTCCACGTTCTTCTTTTGATTGCCAGCACGATGGAACATTTAAGGAGAAATTGACGTATGTTTCATCGAGGTAAACAATGGATCTCTTGTCTCTTCGATGTTTTTGTATCGCATTCAGATATTTCCATCGCCAAGAAACAATGTTTGGTTGTTCAATAAGCAGCTTTCTCTTCGACTGACATTTTTTAAATTCAAAGCCAAGTTTGTGCAGTAATAGTCTCAAATATTCTCGACCGCAATTTAAAATTCCTTCTTCTTTAAGTTTAAACCCTTTTGTTACCCTCTTGTAAATAGTGTAAAATTGAGTTATTTTTCGTCTCACTACTCCTTCAGTAAAATTATCTATTTCAATATTTTTCTTTCGTACCTGTTTTATTTTTTTGGGGGATTTAAAAACCACTCTATTTTGTTCGCGTTTTAGATAATTTCCTTCTTTGACAATTTTACTCACAGATGTTAAAGATATTCCTGTTGCTTGCGCGACCAATTTATTCAAGTTTACGTCTTGTTGATATTCCGTAGACGATTGATCATCTTGTTTTCTTAGTTTAAAGAAAGAATGTACATTGTACACCAATTGTTTCGCTTGCTTGTTAATTTGCTTGGCAAAAATCTTAGAGCGTCCATCTTCAGCATTCATCTTGGGTTATAATCTCGTGTGCGTTTTGTTCCGAGCATCCGTAACCAATTAACCCACTGCCCGCTGAGAAAGCTGCGAGCGCACTGAAAAATGACACTCGAGGTCCCGGCCGCGCGCCCCCGCACTTCACTCCGAAACTCCCTAAAATCCCTCCGCGTCCATATCGATGTTGCAATGTAGTTTAGCTATCTTGACGACAGATGTCGGCCTGTTCACAAAATGATTATAAACTATAAAAATAATATTATGGCGATTAAATTTTTTAAATAAAAATGTAAAAATACACCGATTTGCGATTTTATAAACATAAACGCACATGACGAATGCTGACAGTATACTAACTAAAGCCACGCCCACTATGATGACGTCTGGACCTACTTAGAATCACAGTGCACAGTTGCTTATGCCGTCTCCTCTTTGTATTTGCTTCATGGTAATAGTGAAATCATGACATAACATAAGTGTTTATGTAATTTATAACGTTCGCAAACTCGTTCTTTTTCAATGTGGCAAAAACAGCTTAACAGTCTGTATTCTAATTGTGACGAATCAGCAAACGCAACAATTATTTTTAACGCAATAAAGTGAGTGGCTACACTTGTACGGTCAACGTCATTTCAATTTCAATACCATTGAACGGCGTTAAAGGTGGTTCCGTGAATTTCAAGCAAGATGGACGTTGACGCTGCTACTCTTATATTTGATGAGTGTAAATTTTTATTATATGAATATATTTTATCATTGCCAAACGAAGAAAAAATAATACAAAGAAAAAGAAGATGGTGGATGTTACACACGAAAAGTACACTGTAAGTCTATTTATGTTTATTAATTTGAATTTTATTTTGTTTTCCCGCACCCAAATTTCACTAGAAAGACGTCTAATGGTGTAAGCTAAGTAATAAACCAAACATAAATATATTTTAATAAAATAATAACTAACAAGCCAAACATAAAACTGGTCAAGTGCGAAAACACGACCAAAGCTCAGTTAAAAAAAAAAAACTGTAATGTTCAGCTTAAACTTACAAAGGTCTAATAATTTTTTAAACCGTATATTTATAGTTTAAGATCCGCATAATAAATATATTTCTTGATTTTAACTTTCGTAAGTTTGACACTACACTACACAATTTTTTTTTATAATTACAAGTACTAATTACATGCGTGTAAAAAATGGCTAATACTAAGATTAATGACTTCTGATATTTTGTCTATAATAAATTTTTCCTAAAAGTTATTTTGAAACAGAACTGAAATAGCATTATAATATTTAAATATTGTAACCTTGTAAATATTTTGTTGAATACCTAGTATTATTTATAAATTTGGTGTAACAATGGTCCTGCAGTGGGTCGACGCCTTCCATTTGTATATTTTCATCAGAATCCATGCTAGAGTCTTCATCAGAAGACTCGGATGTGTCGCCTGTAACATTAATTACAAATTTATCCATTTCCATATCCATTAACCTATCTGATTGGAAATATTTATCTTCTATTTTTTCCACATGTAGACATAGATTGAGCCATTCTTCTGTCGTTACTGTTCTAAACGCCGCCTCAGTAATAGCAGCTATTTCGCTAGGAGCTTGAGTGATATTTTTCTCTGCAATGCGCCTCTTTACTATTGCCCAAATTTTTTCGATGGGATTTAAATCGCAGTGGTAAGGCGGCAAACTGAGAACCTCATGTCCATGTTCATTTAACATTTGTTCTATTTCATACTGTGGGTCTCCTGTGTGTTTTTTAATTAATTCGTATAATTGCGCTTTTGTCCAACAATCTTCAAATTTAATACCATTTCTCGTAAGCCATCCTTGGAGCTCTGCTTTTATATTGCTAATTGTATTCGCCTTGTTTATCTGTGTGCAATTCATTGGAAGATTCGGCACAATTTTTTCTTTCATCTACCGCATGAAGTTAGCAGAATTCATATCATCATGATAGTCATTCGATTTGGAGTTAGGCCTGAACAGTAGTAGTCCGTTTTCAACAAACCCAGTTTTACCTTCACCATGGGCTATTATCCATCTGGCACCGACGCTATCAGAAGCAAGAATACCAGGCTGTTCCTCTGATTGCCAACATTTTTGAAGGTGGTATGAAGCATGTATATACGTTTTGTCAACATAAATGACCGGTCGAATTTCTTCCTGACGATTTTTGCGCAACCTCAGAATATATTTTGCTCTCCAAGCTGCAATATCACTGCGTTCTATTCTACTAATACTTTTCGTTTAGACTGGCACCTTTTGTATTTGTAGCCCATAGTCTTTATGATGAGAGATGATTCAGAGACATGAAGAGAGATGTTCTGCTATATTTAAAACCAATATCAGTTTTCAATTCCAACCAAAAGTTTATTTATGGTAGAAATCTCCTTCTTCACGACGTAAAACGATTTAATTAAATGCCTTTAGCGCACATATCGATTTCGTCTAAATAATATTTTTTTTTCCTCTGGTTCCTAGTTTTTCTCTGGCGTCACAATTTTAGAAGATGAAGCTTCTGCTATATTACCCTCTTGACTTATCTGGGTAACGTTGCGTTCAGAAACACCTAAAACAAAATAAAAACAATGCATTGTAAATACATGATATTAATGACACGAGGAAACTAAAAACGAACAAATAGAGAAAATTGGGGAGTTTTATTGTTATGGCAACTATAAAAATTACCTGTTAATAATGCAACGCGGGCTCTCTTTGGAAAACGGTACTATAGGCCCGTTATTCTCTCGTTCTTCTT